TTTATCATGACACACAGGAAGAGTAAGGCAATATAAGCATCTATATTTACCTGTATCGTTATTATTTTTAATTTTTATAATCCAGATTTTATTCAAACAATTCATATACCATATACCAGTGATAGTGCTAGAAGGAATTTAGATCATCTAACCCAAAACATATTGAAAAAATTATTAAAACCTTTGTCCTGATGTAAAATATTACAAATAAATGTAAATTTTTTAGTTTTTGCGTCGTAAAAAGTTAGATGTTTTATTGTTAAAAATAAAATAAGATAATAAATTACTGTTTAATCATTCGAACACTGCAAACCAATATTTGTTTTTTCTTAAAAGTAGCCTTTATAAATTTAGTTAATAGGCAGTTAACCTATAACTTTAGATTGGCCACTGAGTAGTACTGACCGTAAAAAATAACTTATTTATAAAATAATTATTAAATTCGATTTAAATATAGTAATGAAATATTGAGTTATTTTAAAATTCTTGATTAAATAAATTAAAAAAACAATTTTGTATCGATTTAAATAATATTCAAATTTTAAATTTAATTTTACTATTTTAAATTATTTTTTATAAATATATAAAAAAATCTATACGTACATTTTAAACGATAAATATATATTATAGATTTAATCATAAAGTAAGTTTTTATAATAAAATGTAATATTATTTTTATTTTATTTTTTTACGCAATCCCGCGTGAAATAATTTTATTTTAAAAAACTATTAAATTGTAAATGATCAAAGTCACATATTCATATTATTTATTAAAACAATATTTGATTTTTCTATAAAATCAATTTTTTCTTAAAAATAAGGATAGAGGTACCTACCTATATCAACTAGATCACAAGTATTAAATATTTTTTAGATTTCTAATTATGTGCTAGAAAGAGATAAATCGGCTTAATTCTAAAATCAAAAATTAAGTTATTTTTTTTTACACACACATCAACTAAATATTATTCTAATTAAGATCACTTTACCCAAATCATGTGCGACCATTAACCACACCCACTATACATGAAAACTATAATTTCCAGATTCAAAAACCATGGTAGTACTCATTTTCACGCAGTGCACAATTTTTACCTGTAAACTAAAAACTTATTTGCATACAACAAAAACCATGAAAGACAACTTATATAAATTTTAACCTGAATGATTACGACTCGTTTACATACAATCATTAAATCTCTTTCCAATATAGATTAATATTGTAACTCGCAGAGCTTAATGCAAAATAATGAAATGGTTTAATCATTTCGATAAGATACACGTATTAATTGACTCTAATCGAATTACATTTTTTACCAGTTATAAATTTGGTTACCGTTTTGAGTTAGGTTATACCTATTTTATTTGAACATGTGATTTTCACTAGACACGAGCTGCAAGTTCTCTTTAGTAAGTATTTTTGTGTTTTAGTAGACATTTTCTATAGTTTGTGTAGGTACTTAAACGAGTTTTACGTATGGCCGTATGAGTCATTTAAATGCAAGTAGGTACCTATCAAACTTTTGCGAGCGCAATAAATTGAGTTGTGCATTTATTCGCAAACGAGTCACAAAATAGGGTGAATGTACTCACATGGGTATAGCCCAAAAAAAAAAAAAACAAACCTACACGCTCTCAATGTTATAGTCCTATCTAACAATTGTAAATTAAATTTAAAAGTTCATTGATATTCTTAGCAATTTCTCTAAATGAATGAAAAAAAGTATCAAAATAGGTAGTTGAAAATTGCCTAATTATAAAATAAGCATAATTTTTAACAAATTTAATTAGTTATTGTTCTAAAATGTTATAATTATACTTTTCCTAGACATATAACATTTTCAATTATAAATTAAAGTATAATAATAATAGATTCTATCAATATTCAGTTGACATATAATCTTTGAATTTAAGAAATATTTCATTATTTAACATTTTAAACGTAAAAACCATTTTATAGTAGTTACCTACCAGTTAGTCGTTAAATGTAATCACTGAATGATGTAGGTAGGTACCTAATCAATAAATGGTATATTGTTTGTCAATCACATTAGAACAAAAAAAGTCAGGTGTTAAAAACTCGCTACCTATCTAAATGAACAGATTAAAATTTCGAATTAAGTCTCTTCAAATCAATAGGTAGGTAATTAATAAATATGAATATTTATTCACTAATATATTTGTTGATATTAATAAGTTAGGTTAGGTTATATTAGGTACAGTTTAATTTGATTACCTGCTATTAAAATTAATAAATAATATTATTGCAAATATTATATTCTTATAAAATTGAAACTTCTCAAGATTAATATAATATGTTTAATGAGATAAATTATTGTTCCAGGTACCTATTATTTTTTACTTTTATTAAAATAGATTACTCGTAAGCAAAGGCGCAAGGCTCAACTTAATATACTTACCTCAAAATGCATGTCTTGTTAGGAACTGGCATATTCAAAAAATGATTCGACTTAAATTAATTTTTAAGTACAAAAATACTGCAAGTGCACAACTTGAATCAAAAAACATATGTTGCTTATTTTACTAAATTTAAATGATTTTACAATTCTATATATCATTTAAAAACTTTAATTAATAACATCAAATTAATTAATTAATCATAGCAAAATTAATATCCATTACATACCTACCACAGTGATCATTTATATTTTGAACACCTACTAAAAATTCAAAATGTACTTATTCTAGATACTGAATTGAACAATGAAACATCATATGTGATATCTATAGCCTCGCAAGTATAGTAAATAATCTTACAAAAAGTTTTTTAACAAATCATAACCAACGTTATAGAATAAATTATATGTATAGGTACCTATATTATAATTTATAGGTGGTGATTATAATATATTAATATATGGTGTTCCATGGGTAATCATTTTCAATCCTTTACTTTTTATTATATGCATAAATAATTTATTTAATATAAAATATGAAGGATAATTTTTTTGTTTTATAAATCATACCACCATAAAAAATTACCTAAAGTGATTGTACAAAACTAAAACTAATTATTGAAATGATTCATATTATGTCAGTTGTAAATGGTTTAATGATAACTGATACTTAAGTGATAATTATCAAAATTAATCTAAATAAAACATTTTGTTTTTATTTTTTCAATGTATAGTTTATAGTTTTACAGTTAATGAAAACAATTTTTAATTTTTAAACTTTAAATACTACTAATATAACTTGTTGCTACATGGATATAAATTTTGTGGACTATATGAATAACTTAGATGAAACAAATAAAGATCGATATTTAAAATCAAATATTTCCATTGAAATAATCATCAAAAAAAAAATTGGAAGTATGTTTTATAAATTTAAAAATAAATAATATTTTATTTCCTAATGCAGATAATTACTGGGGTTAAAATATTTAAAAATGCTCAGTTATGCTTCTAAGAATTACTTTTAATATAAATGTTTTGTACAAATTACCAATTTAAATTTAATGAACACCTATATAACTCACTAAATCTAAAACAACTTTATTCAAAGAAATATCATGAAGTTTGTCTTACTTAAGTAGTTAATTCATGAAAATAAAAATTTTAATCATAATAAATTGTGATGCACAACTAAGGAAAAACATTATGATGACAATCTATTTTGCATAAATTAAACATTTTTTGAAATTATACCTAACAAGTATATATTAATATATATCTATCTATCTACCTATCAATATAATTATATAAACAACAAAAATTAAATGAACTAATATTCAAACTATAGTAGTTACTTATTTTATTATTACAAATTAAATGTACAATAATAATTTTAATTAATTATAAATCTAGATTCTTTATACAATAAAAAATATACATATAATAAAAAAATTATAAAATATTACACATAGATAATTCAATAATATAATTTAATAATTAGCACAATTCTTTAGTTTATTTTTATAATTATAAAAATAAAGAAAAAAAGAAGTTAGTTCTAGTATCTTCTAAACACATTTAGGTGACCACCAAAATGTAAAGTCTGGAATCCACAATTAAAACCAGTGTAATTGGTACTATAATGTAATTTCCTATTGATGTGTTACAGCTGAACTTACCAAAATGCATAATGTGGCGGACCTTATTAGAATATTCTATATTTTTCTGTCTAACTCACATGTAACATAGTAGTTATACATACAAGATTCTTACTATAGTTTACTGTAGTTAATATTAGATCATATTGATATAATACTATCGTATTTGTGAACAATATAAATTGCTTAAGAAATTACTTTATTTTTCATATTTTAATTTTAAAATAACTACTATGAAATTAAAAAAACTTATTAATGTATTAAAAAAAAAAATAATAAAAAAATAATGTATTTAACTTGTTTTAAAATAAAAATATGAAAAAACACTATTAGCTCAACCACATTTTATATTTTCTTCTATAGGTAAATTAAATATTTAATAAATATTCTTTAATATTAACAATAAATAAATTGTGGTAAGAATTTGATACATAGATAACAGATATGCATATCTTATAAGTTATGAATGTGTAAGATAGATATAACACATGCATTTCTAAATTCAGTTTGTACTTTTTAAAATAACATCTTACTTTTACTATATGGGAGAGTACTAGAGTTGTATTATAGTATTACACATTTTTAAGTTAGGTACATCAGACAAATTATTTTAAATAAAAATAGATTCAAAATGAGTTTAATGATTATTTATATTAAAATAACAGTATATTATGATAACCTGTAGTTTTATAAAAAATCTGGTCATTTACAATTAATTTAAAAAAAAAAAAATAAATAGACTCAGTGAATTAAATATGATTGTACTATAGAATTTATTAAGTATATTTCTATTTTTTTTTTCTGGCAGCTTTTTATTAAATCACAAAACCACGTATGAGTTGAAATTAATCATATTTTTTAGATCATATAAAATAAAAATATTGATTAAGAAACTAATGAATTATAATTTCATGAAATTATCACTTTCATATTTTTATTTTTGTCTCAGAATCTCATAAATACTAGGAATCAAAATAAAATTATCTAAATTCTTAAAAAATATACTTTAATTAACTAAGTCCCTTAAAAAACAAAAAATATACACAAATAATACATAATAATATTAAATATCACTTCATTAAAGTTTTAAAGTTCACTTGTTTAATCATGTGCCTTGATTGTTTTGAAGTGCCTGATTCTGTTGCAAAGACAAAAAAGCTAAATGTCCCTTTGGACACTTATTGGCATAATGACCTTTAAATCCACACTGAAAAGAAAATATTTTAAATTAAATAGATGAAACAACGATAACCTATCGTTTCTATTATAAACATATTTCTGACAAAATGTAAAATGTATTAATAGTAGTATTATAACATTAATTAAATATATATACATATATGGGGGATGGTCAAACTTTTTTCGGCTGCAATCTACTAAAAATATATTTCACCTTTGAGGATCGACTTCGATAAAAAAGTTTTTATTATTATTAAGTTACTATACCACCATAATTAATTTTCGTGAGCGCAGCCTAAAAATAAATTCTAGCACGATCGACTTTAAAATCGTTGCGATTGACTGGTCGATCGCGATCGACTGTTTGGTCGCCCCTGACATATATGATTACAATATAATACGTAGTTAATGAAGAATTAAATACTTTTTGAACAGAAAATTAATTAACTTTAAGAAATTAGAAATAAATAAATAAATATATTTATAACATAAGTAAAAAATACATTTTTATACTATAATAATTGGAAATTAATGTTTTAGAATATATCTAACATCTGTTAATTATTTCTTAATCTTTATCTAAGTAGAATATCTACTTCAATACTTGTGGTAAATATATACTATCATAATTCATAATTATAAATACATCAATATTACATGAAGAAACTATACAAAATTGTCTAGAATTTACTATTATATAATTACTATAGAATGCATTATAATGTGAAACTAAACACAAACAGTTGGATTTCTCAACAAAAGTCAATTTTACATATTGTTTTAAAATTTTATTACTGAATATAAGCATTATCACCTTATAGCAAGTAACTTCTTCTAATGGTTTTAATTTTCTAGCAAATCCTGCTTGAGCATTTGTTGGCAAAGGCTCATTGTTGACCTCCAGCTCTGGTTTAATTTTTACAAGATCTGATACCATTTTATGACAGTACATAGCTTTATGTCCAGTGTCACCACAAAAATGACATATTACTACAAGTTTTTTTGAATCTTTTTGATTGGCATCATATTGTTGATATGCCGGAAGTTCAAACCGAGGACTAAAATAAAAAATAATATGTTAATTTATTTCAAACACAAAAACATATTATATTCAGTTTACTAAATTCTTTTTTTTTAAATACATTGGCTGCATGATGACGCCAATTGGCATCATTAGAGTTGTCCACCATTTTTTGTCAAATATAAATTTTAAAATATGTATTTTTAAATCATTTTTAATTATGGACATATTGCTACTGCTACATAAAAGTATTTTCATTTTATTAAATGTTATTATTATACATACAAAGTACTAAATATGATGCAAAAACTACAAAAAGATGTACACAGTAAACATGTTAAATTAATTAATACTAAAAAAAGAAAATTCATTTTTAAATAAAATAGAATTCATTCAACATTAATTATTTCAATATTAAAACATTTATAGTTTTATTATAACAATTCTTAATGTTTTTTAAACTAAAAGTTAGAATTTATACTTTATTTTTCTTTCAAAAGCTAATAATTTTTAGGTTAGTTTTACATATTTTGTAATCAAAAACACAAGTATTTGAAGTTTTTCTAGCATTTTACATTTAATGTATATTATAATTGACCAATAAAAAAATTAATTTTTATTTTATTTATTAATAAAATTTATATTAAAAATCAAATTAATCTTGAAAAAATTATACAGTTTTACTTTTTTTTTTAATAAGTATTAAATAATGAATAATGATTATATAATAAATAAATTAATTTCTAGTAACAATACATACTGAACAAATTTACAGTTTGGACCGTCTGGACAAAATCCAGAAACATAATTCATACAAAGTACCCGGCGAACATGTTTATGTTTGCAATGTGGGCCATGGCGACAAAATCCTCGATCATACCATGGACAATCCTTCAATTTACTTTCAGGATCAATATGTAAAAATGGACATTCTTTGTTATGACATGCATCTAAAAAAATTAAAGTAGCATTAAAATATATATAAATACACTTAACTAATACATAAATATTATTTATTAAAAATAAGTATTATTTCTTACTAAAACGAGCATAGAAATAACATTCAGGCATTTTAGTCATGTCATATTCATGTAAGAATTCACACTGATCCCCTTTTTTGCACAAACCACGTAACCAATGTTTACAAACAACGGTTCGATCACCTCGTACATGTCTCATTGGACATAATGCTCCTTTAGAACAGGATCCTTTTGGATAAAATGAACAAACTGCAGCAATAGATTCTAAACAAAAAATATAAATTTCAATACTTAAACTAAGATAATTATTTTTCTAAGTAAAAAGTGTAACAGTTTAAAACAAACATAACCTATGACATGTATAGGTAGTTCAATTTAAAAATGAAAACATTAACTTATACAAAATAAGTTCCATTAAATCTTTTAATAAGTTAATGTTAAGAAATATTTTATACATATTTTCTTTTAAATATATATTATTTATATTATATAAATATTTATATATTACATGATTTCTATACTAGTTAATTAAATAAAATATCAGTACAAAGAATGCTGATAAAACATAAATAGCTAATGTAACTTTAAAACTTAAAATTACAAACTTAGATGATTTAAGATAAAAAAATAAAAAGTAACAATAGAATCATAAAAAGTTTATTGTGAATCGATTTGATATAAAAATTTATAGTAAGTATAAATAAAGGTCAAAATATTGTCAGCATAAACATATTTAAACATAGCTTTTTAGAAAATATATTGTGTACTATGATTTTGTCTTACAGTTTATTTTTGAAATTCTATGTTTTAAAAAACTATTCAGTCTAAATTTCAATAAATATTTAAATTATTTCAATTCACATTTACTTTTTGAAAATACTTAATTAAATAAACAAGAATCTTAATATAGAAATTAATAAATATAAAAATGGTTTTTATACAATACCTATATAGTATTAACTTACTGTCCATTCCATTGAACGGCAGAGGTAAAGCCCCATGTTGTTCGTCTAAAGCTATTTCAACATTGAACTTAATGTCATCAAATCCTGCCACAAGCAACTCCATTTTATCCAGGCGATTAAATACGTAAAGCTAATTTGTAGAAAAACTTGGCTACTAAATTATGCTACATAATATTTTATTAGTTGCAATTCTAAAAAGTAAAATAATATACTGTTTATTTTCGAATACATAATCTAATGCCGATAAGATATGATAACAGATTTGATAGTCAGTTAACCAATTGATAAGTATTTTAAACCGTGGTTAACACTCACAAAAATTTTGGTTTTCCCGGTCAAAAATAAAAATGACACACTCCGATCTCCGACTCAAACCAATCAACTGTCCATTCTTAGTTCGTATGTACACGTTCAAAACAATCAATAATCTTTAGTTTGTCCAGTTGCGTTTTACGTCTTACTGTTTCTTGTGCGGTGTCGGGTTGTTGTGTTTATTTATTGATATATCGTTATTTACATTTACCGACCAGTGACTGCCAGTGCCGTCGGTCTTCTCGTCTATAATACAGAGCTACACCATGACTGATTGTCCCCAGTTCCAAATAATGCCCCAAGTCATGCCCGTCTATCATCCACAACCACCATCGACACTGCCACCTCCGCCACCGAACGCGTTCCCAATACCGACGGGGCAACCGATGTTTTCAATGCCACCACACTTTGGCTATCCGCCCATTGCGTGGTCGCCAATCCATCACTATCCGCCACCGCCACCTCTGCCACAGCAACCGGCCCACGACCACGCTGAGGAGGACGATGACTACAACGCACAACAAATCGTATTCAACAATAATAATAACAGCAGCAGCAACAACAAAAATATTAATTCTGCGGACGACAACTTGCAAAATAATTTGGAACTCCAGTCGTCCCAGCCTCCGAATCGCCAGATGTTCGCACGCAATGTGTCCAACAAGGTGAGCACTACCATCGGATTCAGTTTTATTTTGGGTGGGAGGGGGTGAATACTTCTATATTTTAGTTTATGTGCTACTTATACTTTTTTAAGGAGAACTTAAACATTTTTCGTAATGAGAAGTAGTATTGAAAAGGGAGATCAATTAAATAATTAATAAGAACTTTTTAGAAAATACATCTTAATTGTACTTTGGTCGAATTAGAATTAAATTTTTTTTATTAAAATTGATAGTCCCTATATTCTGGTAGGAAAATTATGAGACTCTGTTTTTTAAGCTGCCTGTTTAATTACAATTAGTCAATAGATTCAATCAAGTTTATAAAGTAGAATAAATTATTTTAACTTCTGCTTAAATTTTTATTGACCTTTTGTCTACAGTTATTATTTTTGCGAAGAAATAACTATTTTAAAGTTTTAATCATCTAATAACTTACTTTAACTTTGTATAGGTAGTTAGTATTTATTAAAAAATAGATTAGTAGGTATTGTTATAAAATAATACAGAATTGCAAACATATCCAATATTTTTAATTTATAGAATTCTGTGATTACTTCAAGGTCTCATATTTTTGTATTAAGTTTAAATTTAACTAACTTTTAGTTCATGTATTGACAATGCAATTAGATAATTATTGATTTATTTTTAAAATAAAAGCTTTTAATAAATGTGGATTTTCTTACTAGTTTTCTAAATGTAAGAAAATACAGATACCTAACTTTCAAACATTTTTTTTAAAAGAAAGGTACTTGTTTAAATAAAAGTAATTTTTAGTTCAATTGTTAAAAAAAAATTAGAGTCAAATATTTATTTTTGTTATTCTTTATGTTAATTTATTTGATTTATGATGTCATTTATTATGTTAAGATTAATACCTAACCTTTTTTAATACACATGTTATGATTAACTATCATAAAAATTCATGGTACATTTTTAATTGTAATAAACAATAGATACTGGGATGAGTGTTAATTTTTTTTTTCAATTTTATAATATAGGTGTACTAACTTAATTATTTTTTTTAACTATATTTATTATTAGTTTGATACACGACATGAAGAATTCAGAAAATACTTGGAAGAAGTAGGTATTTTGTCCACATTCACTAATATTTTATCTGAAATGTACCAAGATCCTCTGCGGCCTAACAATCCATTGGGGTAAGTAGATAACTTATCAAAAAAATTAAATGAATAATTAAAATGCTATTATATTGTGTTAAAGATATATTCGAGATAAATTGAGCTCTTCTCGGCCTGAAACAGTTGAACTTCAAAATCTTCGCATTTGGTGTGAGGAATACCAAAAAAAAACTATTCGTCTGGAAAAAGAGTTAAAGCATGTCATTGAACGGTTAAGGAAACATGAACCATACATTACTGATGATTCTCTTTTTAATGAGAGTTCTAAAGAGAATGACTGCAGTGCTTGTGTATTGGATGTATCAAATCTTATGTTGGAAAGTAAGGAAGAAAATCTTAAAAATGGATCAATAAAAAAATATAACAAATAATAGTTAACATTAATTCTATAAACAACTTTAAGAATAAACTATGAAAAATTGAAAGATTTTCAAAATTTGTTGTTATTGTAACTTATATTTAAATCATTTTTGCAATTTTATTCTTGTTAAAGATAATTTTTCAATTTTTCTGTTTCAAAAATTGGACTGTATTTATTAAATTTTAATGACGTTATTTAAATTAATAGTTTTATGTTGGGTTTAAGTTGTTGAATTTCTCTACTTAGAGAATTATTCATTAATAACTTATGTTACAGTTACATTCGTATTTTGAATGTATTTTCTCTTTCAAATTTTGAGAAAATCCATTGTTGAAGTATATTTTGTGCTCATTTAAAAGTTTTGTTTTTAATATCCTTATTGACTTATTTTGATTTTTTTTTTTATTGATTATCTTTTTTGAAATTGTCTAATTCTAATTTAAAATGATTTATTATTCAAATTAATATGTATTCATATTAGATTAATGATCTATGATTTTTTTTTTTAAATTTTTTTGTCAATTTGGATCATTGTTATTTGATACTATGAGGTACTTAACACTTTATACATTCATAATAATTTTTTTTCAATTTATATTACTTACATTTTTGTTAGCCCATCCAACATTCATTATTATTATATATTTATATACATAAAAATGTGTGTATGTATATTTTGTATGTGTTTATAAATATTCACTAATACCTATGTATTTATACCTAACTTTATTTTTTGTGTTAACTCAAAATTTTTTTTTTCATATTTTCTTTTTTTAATTATTTAATTTTTTCTGTACAATTATGATTTTAGTTTCTTTTTATTAATTTTAATATTTAAACAAACATTATATTTAATGTTAAATACAATTAAATAATCTTAATTTATTATCAGTATTTTTATTCTATAATTAATTGAGTTCCTTGATTTATAATGAAGGTCTCCTGATCTTTTTAACCCTTTGACTTCTGCTGTTGCATATACCTAACACCACTGAAATTTATTTTACTTAAGCAAGTACGCTTTCTTCTCATTTAATAAGAAAAAAAAACTGTTTTATTCCTATTACAGCATAATATAGAATGAAAATCTCCAATCATAAATATATTTTTTAAATTTAGTATATGGGCGTGTATCCTCTAAACAGACTAAGTGTTCTTTGTTATCTTATAACTATTCTTACTTATCTTATATTTTTTAACTTAATGTATTTACTGTTAATAGTTGTTATGGTACTTGTTTATTACCATTCTGCTATTAGCCTAACAATATGTTTTAATACAAAAAATGGTTAGATCGCATAATTTTATCAAATAAAAATTCAAAGTTGTATTATTAAATAACAAAATAAATGTCTTAAGTGTTTAATTATTATAATGGAGGCCAGACTTCTAAATATAATGTTATAGAAGTAATTTCTCAGGACAATACTATATGAAATGGACAACTGTATGGGCAGTCTAGAATTAGTAAACTTAATTACTCTTAAATTCGTTCCCTTACAATTTTTCTGACATCTCCATCTTGATTCTTTGATGGTTATTCTCACATGTTTTCTTAAAATAAATTATATTTTTATTTTGTATAAATACATTGCAATTATAATCATTAAATACAACTGTTAATAAAATTGTTAAAATTTTTCGTCAAAGTAAGGATAAGTTAAAATAAAAAGTCAACAAACAAACAATTTATAAAATTTCTTATTTTTTGAAATAGATTATTTACCATGGTCTAAGTAATAAAGAACTAGTGACAGAGCGATACAAATAAGTATTAAGTACCTACCATTGCCATAAATTATTATTTTTTTAATATTAATTTCTTGAAAGTAATTAATGTTGTTCTCCCCTCAAAATATCGCTGTTCTTTGATAATTGGAATCATGCTGAGACTGAGAAGTATGTGACCTAGTATTATCTTATGAATTATGATAAACTAATTGTAAACTGTAAACAGTGGAATCTGGAACTACATGAATTAAAAACATTTATGTTTGATAAAAATTATTAAAAATATATAATATATTAGTATATTACTTAAACAGTAGGATTTACTATACTTTTTATAATTTATAATAATGAGAAACACTAATAATAATTAACAATCATAGGTATCTAGTTACAAACATTTAAGTAATATATTTTAATATAAAAATGCAATACCTACTTTACTATATCCATTAAATGTACTTATAAATTAATGATAACTTCTTTTGTTTTCACCATTTATTTTGTTTCCTCACTGATCTATCCACAACTCTGGACAAAAGGGCGCTTATTGACTAACGTCAACTATAAATCTAGTTTGAGTTGAGGGAAACCGAGCCCCGCTGTGCACAACGAATTGCTTAATTTGCTGCCCTGAAGTCTAGGTGTAGTATCCCCTAAAGTTGAAGATCCTAACAATTTAAGAACACGGTAGTTATAGAACAGGCACAATAGGTACATAATAAAATAATCACCTGGTTTCTGGTGAGAGGTCCCAACGACGGAAGTCACGGTCCAACTCGTTATTTTCAGATAATCGGGACCAGTGCTAGTGGTACATACTACATACTAACAACCCGAGAAGATTCAACAAAAATCCAAAACCATTCAATTCCTCCGCTGATCTCTACTAATACTTACACATCGCAAACATAACTACGGTCCGTGTGTACGTATTATACGTAACGTATAAACGAAACTGTAAATCCACAAACCCTGTGGAGTAAGAGGCGTACCACAGATTCGGTATTCGCCCTCTACTCAAGACAAGTGTAAGCCGCGGAACATTTTCTGCGTTTATACGTCGAATCTTTTACAATAGGAGGTACTTTACAAATGCATTTACATAAGTCAATAATAAGAGTATAAATTATTATGATTCATAAATACGCATGTGTAGCTGAAATATTGAAATAATAGGTATCTACAATCTACGTATCGTACCAACTCGGAGAATGTTTATAATTTTAAATGGGGTAAATTAACTCTTAATTATAAAACTAATAACAACAAATCGGATCTGTTAAACTCAAATTGTCCACGTCTCGCACGAGTCGGAGAAAAGATCATATTTTTCTAAATTTAAATTATTTATTGCTTGTAAATATTATATACTTGTATGTATTAATGAAGTAATATGTAAAAAAATTGATGTGATTATAAAATGTCGGCATTTTGAACCACGACGCTGCACAAATTTTGAATATCTAAAATATGTAAATTATTCGAAGCTCTACTATAATAAAATTAATAACTAATAAGGTATTGTTAAATTACTTAAATGTTAAGTGAGCTCCACTGCTTCAGTTCAGTTGTACCTGCCAGCTACCAGTGTTACATTTTACAAATATACAATTCACAACAGCATGATGCTCTTAATTTTGTTTTAGGCCACAAATAATATTTTTATTTTTTACATTAATTTCATAAATTACCTTAAAGGAATTCAACCAAAAATCAAAAGTGATCCGTATTGTACCAATTGTACTGTAGGTATGTACAAACTATTTAAGTAATCTAATAAAACTTTTGAAAACTTTGTATTCACTTTTTTGAACTCATGCAAAATCTCAAAACCTTTATAATTAGATTTTTTAATTTTTAAAATTAGGTGGCCGTTATCATGAAAATTAGAACGTTTAGAAATAACATTGTCGGAACTAGGAACAAGTCGTAACACTCGTAACCAGTAACCACCCCATAAAGACATAAAGTATCTAATATGCGACATATAAGAACGACCTCTCTATATTACTCTATTAACCACCTCTATGACCAGGGGTGGACTGGCGTAAAAAATCGACCCGGGCGATCATAAAGGCTCAGCTGCTCAGGTATTATATTATACAAATAGCATTATATCATCGTATATTTCTTAATAGTAATAAGTAATAACCTAGACAGATTGAATTAGTAGCTCTCCTTTCTCCCAACTATTCAATCATCGTCATTTGGTCTGTTTGCTAAATACAATTTAAAAACAATTTTTGGGTCCTTGATTGTCCACTAAAATATGCAATTTTCGTCGTAGTCTATTATCGTAAGACCAAAAATTGACCAAAGGGGGCAATCGCCCACCGCCCACCGACCAGTCCGCCCCTGCCTATGACGTGATCTTGCGAGTACACATCGCACATTAATATATTAACATTATTAATAATTATTATTATTATTACTCTATGGATAGTCATGAGTCTAAACTCTTGAATATCGTTTTTTTATGAATGCTTTTAATAATCTGCGTATTTTTAGACAAGCAGTGCGTTCCCTTCTAGCTTTGCATTCACAACATATTAATTGACTAAGTCTGTATACTGTAGATCGACGTGAAATGAAACAATTTGGTTTTTGTTTAAACATATCAAGTTATCTGTGAAGATATTTAATATATGTAATTTAATTCCACCTTCATTAAAAATAAATTTATAATTTGTGTGATAATAATTATTATCTTCAACCATTAGTCCACCATTATCGTCAAAAAAAATTACCAAACATTTTTCATGATAACAGCGATTTTTTCGATGCTTTCAAAAGTGATTCAGATGTTAGTGAATGAAATCAATTTTAAAGTTTTGTATATTTTTTATGCATTTAAGCACACTTCAAAAGAAAAATATTGCAGTTAAAACTAAAAATATTTTTTTTCCAATTTTGTAATCTAAGCTTTATTTTACAGAAAAAAATTGAGGGTTAATAATTGTAACACCAAAAATGCATAAAAAAAATGGTAGTTAAAAACTAAAAAAGAGGCATTTCCAATTCCAATAATATTTAGGCATTAAGTTTTGTTATTAAGTATTCTATTGAGATTTTTTATATGTTTACAAGTTACATATTTATTTTTTATTTTATTATTTTAAAATTATGTGTACTCTGTTAAAAAAAGGTTATCACTTGTTAACGATTTTCTTTTTTTATATTTACTTAAAATTTGTTTAAATTAATTTTTAAAATAAATATTTTGTTACAAGTCATCTCTTACATGCATGAATTCAATTTTACATTGAATTTTTTATTTTTTTAAAAAGCTGGTTTAGGTCGAAACAATAAATGGAAGGTCTTATCCTATTTATGAGACTTATGTAAACATTTAAATATTTTTTGTAGTCTAGTGCAATATTTTTTAAGCTCAGAATACTAAGAAGTATGTCAAAATCATTTAATGTCATCTTAATCTACGGTACTTAATAACTGTACCTACATAAAACTCAACTTATGTATAACATGACTCAATCTACATTCTACATTTAGTACATTTATAGAATAATTACTTATCTATTTTTTTAAATATATACCTACAACAAATTTCTAATTTATTTTTAAGTAAAAGTTAGGTAGGTACCTAGGTACTTATATTTATATATTACCAATGTATAATATAGCTAAAATCGATAGTTATTTTTGTTTTGGTTTCTTAATTATTTCATTTTGAATTCTTTCGGGTTCAAAAATATTGAATTTCAAAAATCTTTTTCCAAGTTTCGGATTAATGATCTCTGGTTACAAACAGTTAAAAACTTAAAATATAACTTAAGAATAAAACAAATAAAAATATATAGATAGTTTGCGAGCTTACAAATATAATTATTAATCGATTTTGATTAAAATTAAATAACATAATAAATGTATTACAACTTACAAGTAATTATATTTAAATAGTTGTAGCGCATATCAGTCGGCAATATTTTTATAATAACAGTTTTAATCGATCTTTCATTTAAGTTTTCCTGAGACAAAAATAGTAGGTATTTAAATTCATTTAGAACATGAATACGTGAATATTTAACTAGATTTTAATTTTTTTAAAGTTTATTTTATAAAAGCTTTTTCATAAAAAATAGAGTTTCGTATACTAGAATAATATTTTTTTAAATTAAAGCCATTTTATTATTAAAATTTCTGAAATGTTTATTGAACCGTCTGAAAAATAAACAAATATTCCCTATATACAAAATTATAATTATTAATTATTGCTTAATATTATTTCACTCACCTAATTATGAAGCTGTTAAATAAGGAAAATTCTCATCTTTAAAACTATTAAATGATATGATGTTTAAAGTATAATCTATACTATTTTTATAAGTCTATATTTCAATAATACGTAGTAGGATGTAGGATCAAAAAGTTTCCGGAATTTGATTTTATTTTTTTATGTTTACAATTTAAATATAAATCTACTTAATCTCCTTCAAAATATCGTCCTTCAGCACAGACACACTTAATCCAACACCTTTGTAACTGCTGGAAACATCTTTGGTATCATTCTATTGAAATGCCCCTGAGATTCGCTATCGCGTTAACTTTAATGTCCTCAATCGTCGCAAAACATTCACCTTTGAGTCCAAGTTTTAGATTTGGAAACAGCCAGAAGTCACGTGGAGCAAAGTCTGGCGAATACGGGGGTTGTGGAATTGTAGAAATTTTTTTATCCGTTAAAAATTGTCGAACTGCAAAACACGAGTGGCACGGTGCATTGCCACGACGCAAAAACCAATCATTTTCCCATTTTCTTTGTCTTTTCATTTCGTATGGACACGATTACGGCTCACATGAGACTAATGTAATTTTAACGACAAAACCTACAGATAGCTAATAATGTCTACTTATAATTCCAATAATCAGATATTTGGTAAGAAAAATAGTTTTTTTGTATAAATAAATTCCGGGAACTTTTTGATCTTACTACGTATTCATTAAGAGGCTAAAATGTATTGTGTTAGAGTTACACCAAAAAAAAAAAAAATAATGGTAGACAAGTGGGTTCAACTTTGTTATGCAGTAGATGTCAATGTGTCATTATGTAAGGTAGGACACCATTAATCGATGAGTTAAATTTGAATTTATTGATAAATTTTGTACGCGAAAAACAATTTTGAACGAAGACAGCCTATCAGCCTAGATTACCAAGTACCTACATTTCATAGTATATTTTTTTGGATTACTATTAAAGAAATTAATTCTAATAGGTAGTACTATGGAAGGTTGTTTAAATGTTTGCTAAAAACATTGCATTTATAAATATTATTAATATTTAGGTATTAAATAATATATTATAATTAACTATTCAATTAATAATACAACTTTACTGTAAAATAGTGTGAATAAGTTCATGGTACTAATAGGTAACTGTAAATTAATTTACATAATTTTAACATTTTATTGCGTAGGAAGTAGGTATAGTAAAATTCATAATAAATGTAAAAGATTTAAGTTCCTATGAATAATGTTAAAAAAAAAAAAAATGTATGGTTATTTAAATATATATATTAATAAAATACTATTTTTTTTTTTAACTATACAAGCTTTTTAATTTAAGTTCTTCTTGTTCTTTTTTTTTCTCTCTTTTCTTATTTGTTAATAATTCATATATTACATTACTCATATTTTAATCTTGTTTGTTAACATTTAATTGTTGAAACTAATTGTAATAACAAAGTTTAAATATAAAAAAAAAAATAATAATATATATATATATATAATTTAATTTAAATTTAACTGCACATTTTTTCAAATAATTTTAACATGTTAAAAGTAAAAAACAAATTATGTCATTAAAAAAACAACAAACATTTAGATTCATATACTCTTTAATTGGTAAAAGAAATAAGTATAAGTACAATGTGAAAGAATGTAATAAGAATTTTAAATTCAGTCAATGGGAGGAGAGTCCTAACTCAGACCCCCTCTCTCTCATTGGGTACGTCCTGCACACGACTGTTGATAATATTAAACCAAAGAAATTAATTTTAAAATTTAAGAAAGTGGATTCTAGTATTTCTAGTAAACTACATGATGAAATTTCAGAAACTATTGGATAATTAGTTTGGTTAAGGATTGAAACTTTAAGGAAAAAATAAAAAAATTAACATTTTGAAAGCATTATTAACAAGTCCATACACAATACAGATGTAGGAATGTTCTCAATATAGTTTATAGTCATATATAAATGATAACAATATCTTACTATGCACACAGTACATATCCACGTATATATAGGAAAATATCTCCATTAAAACATTTGGTATCGAATCCTAAATAACTGAAACATACTGAAAAAAATCTTGTTTCGGAAAATGGATATTTATTTTAAAATTAAGTTTGTTTAGCAGAACTACTAGTCTTATTAATGATGAATAGTGATGTTATATTTATTTCAAGTTGAAATAGATGATTTCACATGCAATTTACAACAATTATAACCTAAGTATTATATGACATGATCTATAATAAAAATAATATAAACATGATTATAAATTAATTATAAGTAATTAGTAATTACAAACATATAAATATTTCTAATTAATCCTGGTGTGTGAATTACTTATTAGGAGGTATCTTAATAATTTTCAATTTAATTCAATTAAACAGTTTAAGGTTAATCTCATTACAAAAACATAGTATTTTAGCAATTAGACGTCACACTATTTCTTGAAGTTGACTCCAGAATTTAAAGTTAATTATTAATGACACTGATCTATAAACTAAGTAGGTATTATATAAGTAATACAAATTAAAACAAATTTTGTTTGGGTTTTTATATTTGTATAAAAAATATTGTCATAATCTAAAAAAAAAAAAAAATTAAAACACATTTTTTTTTCTATAAATAACATTAAATTGTTCACTGTAGCGTACATAATATTAAACACAAGGAAAATAAATTTAAAAAGCATTTTTTAATTTGGTTAACACATAAGTATTAAAGTTAAAAAATATTGAATGGTAAGAAAAAGGTATTGTATCTAAAGATAAAAAAAATGTATATAATATGAATATATGTGGTTTTAAAAATAAGTATTTTGTCATCCCATTTTTAGAACTAAAACAAATAAATAGCATTATTCTACACGAATGCTAAAAATGTATTATCAGTTTTATAATTTAATAATTTACTAAATAAAATTGGCAAAAATTACATGTTTCATACAGAATGGTCCCCATAAGTCAGAAAGCAAACACAAAAAATGAAGAAATTCTGGATCATTCTGTATATTTTATTTTATTTAAAAAAATAATAATAGCTAACATTTTTTTTTTATAAAAGTAAAGTTAATAATTTTGAATTTTGAATTTTCTAAATTCTGATATTTATTTTGGCCAATATTTAAAACTAAAAATGCTGTCATTGAAATACCACCATTAACATTTTATATTGTTTGTAAAATACATATTTACCTAGTAATGAGAATTAATTTTTAAGACACTTCAGTAAAAAAACACAGATTTTAAATTAAAAATAAAATTAACTTAACATGTTTACATCACATACCACCGGTCCTTTCTTGATATATTTCAATCACATCATCATTTATCATGCCTAATGATTTTGGTGTATCTTCATCAGTGATTCGATGACCATCAAACACAAAACGTAATTCATCCACTTGAAAACCCAACTTGCTACAATATGAACGTTTCAGGCGAACCAAAGCTGTGGCAGCTTTAACACGAAAGTGCACTTCGTTGGTCATATCACTAGTAATGACGCGAAGACGGATGTACTCATCGGTATTAGCCAAAGACTTGTCTTCAGGCACCTCTAGTGCACCAGCATTTGGATCAACCACGGATGTGCTCTGACGTTGGTCTTCGTCATCAGTAGCTCTATTTGTGGAGCTGGTAGCTAAGTTTGTAGTTTCTGAAGTAGATGGTTCTGTATTTGTTTCCTCGTCGCTCAACATTCTCTACACATACCAAAAAAAAAAAAAAAAACATGTTATTATTCTTAAAACTTACGTGTTTATTAACTTAAAAATTAGTTGTGTTAAGTATAGGCCCTCCAAAATGTCATTTGTCCTATTAAAACTTACCACTATGGTTTGTCGACGTTCTCAACTCTAGCGTTGTTTTCGTTTCTAGTCCTGGATTCGTTTAACACTTATAACTGGCGATAAGGACTATTCAGCTATAAAACTATACTGTATTTGCAGATTTACTATTCGTTTAACGTGGCGTCTAACGTACGATAATGGACATACGTCGACACTTGATTATATTAAACAAGACAGAGTTCTATTAAGGATTAAGTATTTTACAAATTAGTAAGCTACAAGCTAGTAGTTACAACTTAAAAATACAACAGTTACAAGTTACAACTGTTACAAAATACAACAAATGGCATTTAGTATTAGCGTAAGAAGTAATAACGGTAACAACACATGGTATTAGTTTACATGATAAGTGTTTATTTGCTTATTATTATCAAAGTAAAAGATGGCCGACATCAACAAACTTTAGTTTTTATTGTTTCATTTAATCGATAACGTAACATTTTAACGATACAACTGGGAGATTAAAAACATTGCAATACAATGATTTTATTTATGTCGAATAAAATGTTAGACGAACAATGGAATAACTGAAACACAATATTGTAATGTTGTATTATATTTAAATACAATTATTACATTACATTACAACAAAAAATTTTACGTATTCGTGTTGAAGGTGTATCTTAAACCATGGTCCTAACATCTGGTATTTATTCAGCATCTGGTAAATACGGTTATAACCATATCCCTAAGTGTTAAAGTATAGTTATATACCTAGGTATAATTTTATTAATCGGTTTATGAATTATTATGATTGTTATGGTAACGTTCTTGCGACAAGTATCTATGTTACGTTTATACTTTATACTTTATTTTGCTTAGAGGTTTTGAATTATTGAAATGAGTTTTAAAGTTTGATTAGTTTTTGATTTACATTCGTAAATCGTAAATTTCGATCAATATGAAATTGTGAACTATAACTTACTGAAGTCTATAGATTATAAGGTGAAGTGATCTTCGATAATTTGCGTTAAATATTTTTAGAAAACAACTATTTGATTTGCTTAAAATTAAAAAATTAGAAATATGGTTTTAAAGGTACTCTATATGAAATTAAAAAAATAAATTATATTCTAGCTGACCTGGTAAAGTTTTAAGAATGATTCAAAATATTCCTGTAATCAATAGGCCTAGTTACTCTACGTGTGCGTAAAATTTTAGTAAATACACGTAGGTAGGTATATGGTTATGAGTTTGTAGAAAAGTTCCATCGAAAAAATTTAAAAAAAAATATTTTTTTTTAGAATTTTATTAATTTTCCAAATAATTTAATATTTTTCTTAATATAATAACCTTATTAGGACTATTACGAACATTTTATTTCAAAAAATGTGCCTATCAGTCCATCCCTTTTCAAGTTTTACACTTGGGTACCAATACCAATGAACATATTTGTATACAATTATGTATAAATGTATAATGTACATATTATTATATAGGTTATCATTGTTCATATTTATGAAAATAAATGTTTCTTTGTTTATCCTCTGTACTCTAAAAACATTAGACTTAAATCCTACTGGATAATGGACTATTTTCAATGAATGTTATATCAATAGATTTCTTGAGACATGAATATTATTATTTTTTTTTGAACGGTAGAACTTAACCTAACCTTCTCATTTCATAGCATAAATGAGGGAATTATTGTGTTTAATATTGCTGTTAGTGTCATCAATACATTTTTTCCTTCTAAAATTGTTCTCCCACCTAAGTTCTCTCACTAGGTGTCCCTGGCCCATAAAAGGTTAATATTTGAATAAAATGAAACTCTGCAGCGACCAAAACATGTAGTACTCGTAGTCACTCCTTTGGCAGCAACTATATAATGAGAGAATTTTATTATTGGTTGTACAACGGAGTTGCGGTCTTTCGTAGCGCAAAGTATACCTACTATACTTACTAGTTAATCTTTAACTTTTTGGGTTTATTTTAATCTCGAATCTATTTCAATATTTCCGAATTAAGAGTTAAGTATAAAATACAAACCTAAGCTGACTTTACTAATTATGTTAAATACACTGAATAATCTTAGTCATCTTGTTCTAACTATTTTTGGAAATATATTAATTATCTGAACCGAAACTCTACAATAAATTCCTTCTTCAGTTCATTTTTTATTTATTTATAAACTTTCGAAAGCTTAATAATTAATAAAAACTCTGTAATAAATTTACATCTTGGTAATTACACTTAATTTTCAAAATTAAACTATTTTATATACCTAACTTATAATATAAATTGATATTGTTTTTTGTATTTTTGTACTCCTTATTTATTGAAAAATACATCTGTTTTCAACAATATAACTGGTTGTTGTATTTGCATGAAGTTGCCTTCTCATATTTTGAAAACTAACTGGCAAATTATTAGCAACACTTTGATACCATTTTGAAGTTGCTTATTAAAAATATGAATGGGATTATATGCCGTTGAACCCACAATCTTATTCCTTTTATTACGGAGAAGGAAATAATATGTGAATTTCGAAAATTAATTTGTAAAATGAGTAGGTATATAATTGGTGGGGATGGTGAATTTAACGCATAGGTATGCTCGTTGTTTGTTTTATTATTGTAACACTATTTTATAGGTACCTTATTTATCTAATATTTTTACCTACTATTTTACTATTTATTTTTCTTGATTAAAAAGAATGTTTACTTCCATAGTTCTATTAATTGCCTTCATAGATTTAACCTTATTTTAGTTTGGTCCATATTGGAATATGTTTCAGTTATTTTGAATTATTGCTTGGCCAAAGATAATTTATTATTAGAACGTATACAACGTAGATGTCTCTATTATGCATACATGTTAAAAATTAAATAATCTTATCATTTAGCTATTCTGACGATGTCGATAAGTTCATTTCTTCCTTAATCAATGGCTCATTAGATGTGAGTACCTAATATTTTATAGAATAAACAATTTAGTGTTTTCACTTACCACTTCATAAATATTATAGGACAGCGTGATCAAATAGAAAAAAAAAGAAGGTACCTAGGTACCTACCCAATTTGTTCTTTTCAGTTACAAAAAGATGTAAACATTTTTTCATAAATCATAGTTATTATTACAAATTAAGGTAAGTAGGTAGAGATAGTCCTGTTTACTTTGATTACAGATTTCAAATAGAAATAAATTAATAATCATTAATATCATTGCATATAATTATATAAATGTATAAATATTTCTTTAATTTTTTAATTTTTATTGCTAAATTTACAATCTATACAGCTAAGCACAATAAGTAAATGGACTAAATAATATAAGTGGACATTGGCTTGAATGACTTGAAGGGGGACCATATTCAGCAATAATAACACCTACTTAGTCACTTTGATGGTTAAATATTTAAAAATTACGACTTACGAGTTACAAACAATATAAAGATAAAATTTATATTATGTATGGCAAATTTTTCCTAGTAATTTTATTTTTATTTATTATTTTTTTTATTTTTTACTAGTTATAAAATATATGTCACCAAGCCAATATTAATCGCGATTTACAATTGCCATAGAGATTGTGCGCTGATTAATTTAAAGTTTTGAATAATTTAAATCATAAATGTATAATAAACATGTAAACTTTAAACTTATATAGGTTTTATTAATATATAGATAAAGACTTATGAACATCATAATAAAACCATTATTATTATTATTATTATTTAGGAAATAGACAATAGCAGGTGGATAATTATAAAATTAATAATGGTCATAATATATGAAATCGTAGCTGATAACAATACATATAATAAATATTATATACAGCACACATTTATAGGGAACTATAAAAAAAAAATAAGTGCAGTACCAATAGTACCAATACTTATCAGTTATCTATTGTAAATAAAATTGAGACTACACCTACAAAAGATAAATTTATTGTACCTTGTATTTTGTAATGTAGTATGTACCTATTCCTCTTCTTGTTTCTTCAATCATGTTCGTAAATTCGTAATACATTGCTGGTTAGTAAATGATGTGATATGAACGATTAGGTTTTGGGTAATGATCAATTTTATTGTAAATTTTACGCGTGTTAAGGTTTAGTTATTTACTTCTTCTATCTGGAATATTTTTTTTTTATAAACTTCTATTATATTAAACAGTATATACTATTGTTATACTAAGATTATATAGACATATTTAGTTAAAAACCACATTAACTACTTGAAGTTGACATATCTATCATCGTTCATTACTGGTAAATATAATAATTGGTAATATATTTTAATTGATTATACCTATAACTATAATACAAATCTATATTCTATACATAAATTAGGTAGGTACACCTATATGGCCAAGTACACAATACAATATACATCATAGTATTGTATACAACGATTTACATGTCTGTTATCATCCAAGTACATTGTACATTTGTACTTATTAAATATTACCTAATCAAAGATCTTTGTGTACCTACCTACTATACAATACTAGTTAGGTAGTAGATACTACTAATAGTAATTATAGTATCTATTGGTTATTGTTTATAGAATTCTGCGTGACCGTGTAGGTACCTATTATAAATATGGTGAATCCCGTGGGTTGGTCTATTATAAATTCAACAAAAAAAAATTATTACCTGCAGATATTGGGTGTGGCATGAGAAAGGGGGTTAGGGTACTCGAATACACAGTAGGTAGTAGAGTTGGTATATTAAATTTTAAAAACGATAAATTATTGAGTAGGTCAACAACCAACCCTGATTAAAGTTCGGTTTACACTATTAAACCATATAAGCACAATTGACATTTTCACAAAATAAATTGTCAACTGTAGTTTTGTAGGTCGGATACTCGGATGTATTGATGTATACTAAAAAAACGCGGTTGGTTGATGTTCATTGACCATTGCAATAATTACTTTCCGCCATTCCTTTTTAAATGCAATGATGTGTGCTCGGTCAAAGTAATCGTTGACAATCTATACGATAAATTTCTACCATTAACCTTAGACTCGTTTAATGGCCATGCGAGCGACGTATGATATGCACGTTTTTATTTTTACATTATTGAAGTTAGTACTTTATAGGTATAGGTACGCGCACAGGTTAGGTTTGGACGGGTGGTTATTGTAATTTGGATCATTTGGATCCTATATTTATGTACCATTACTAAACTTAACCGTTATATTAATTATTCGTGACTATGAGTTCAGTTATGTAAGTCACTATTAATTAATGTTGGTAACTTTAATAATTACTGATAATAACTAATGAGATGCCCACTAAATTATATATTATACACATTATACATATCAAGTATACTAATACAATAATACATTCACTTCCACTACCTCAAACATCAGTTCTTGTTTTAAAACTGTACGCTGTATGCGCTACATTTTTAATAGAACAATAATTCTTGGATAGTTAAATAATGTTAACTTTTATACAAATTTCGTAGTTGGTTTAATTCAGAAATCAGAGTATATTATACAGTAGGTACCTATACCATAAGCATTTGAATAAATTCAGATGATCTTATTTATGACGTTGCCAACTACTGTCAAGTTCAACATTTTTAACATGCTTAATAAATTATTATTAATAAAAGTAATATATACCTACATTTTAACTAATTTTCACGTATTTTAATTTGACAATATTTAATTTGTAGATCATGATTTATTTAATTATTTAAAATATTTATTACTTTTATTTTGACTATACCTAATTAAATGTAGTTATAATTTATAAGTTTATAACTCGTAAGTTTCTAAGCATAAGTCAATTTATAAAACAAATTTATTTAAAGAAAGATATTTTTCAGACTTAATTTATTTTAAATAAATCATATGATGGCTAATGAAAATTCAAGAACAGACGAAAAATACTTGTTGAAAAATGGCCGTGTCTTACTAAAAGAAATGTTCGATGGACTGGCTTACACTTATCCAGTATTTGATGTTTATCCAGAGAGTAGAATAGTTGGATTAAAATTGGTTTGTCTATATTATAATTTTGGTTGTTACTTTATTACTTTTTACTAAACATTGAATAATAGTAGGTATATATTTTTAGAAATTAGAAAAACGAGTTTGTTTACTTGGTGGCGGTGGATCTGGACATGAACCATATCCATTTGGTAAGTTTAAAGTATTATAATAGGATAAACAAACAAATTATTTGTCAAATTCCTATATTATTCTAAAAAAATTACAAGCTTAAAATGGTTTTAAATGTTTTTATTATCTATGTCATTTACATATTTTATGTTATAAAAATTATTTATAACATTATTTTATTAATTATTTTTGTTTTTAAATTTTTGTAAAATAAGTATTATTGGTGAAGAGCAATAAAATAAATAATACAAATATTAATTAATCTCATCATAATAAAGTCTTACATAAATATAAAATTGTTTATAGGACTTGAAATAAAACAGTTTATCCAATAATTCAATATTTTAATCATTTACACTCAGATGGTTATAATTAATAACTCATAAAATTACTGTTATAATAAAATTTATACCTAAACATTCATTTATATTCTGTTAATTAAGTATCTACTGATCACTTCAATAAATTATTTTATTTTATAAGAATTTTTACACTAAAAAAAAATGTTGATAAGTAAATATTACTGACAGGTTTATTGGAAAATGTGTGTTTTGTTTTAATTATACGGTGTATAATATTATGTATTTCAGTATTTGTATAAAACTCGTTGTTTCGATTTAGAATTGCTATTCTTAATTTCATTATATATAAACAATAAACATTTTGAATACTTTTCTAAAAAATCAATTTTATAATAATCTACGTTGAGAACAATTCATGGTTTTTTGAAAATATTCACTATTTAAAATGTATACAAACAAAGTGTTTAAACAAGTTAGGTACCTATATTGCATAATAAACTATGACTAAGAATTAATTAATAAATTATAAATATTAAATTAAATTAATAAAAACAGTATTTTTAATATTTTATTTTTTGAGGAAACATTTTAATTTAAAAATTCAAAATTTAAAGTTTGGGTGTGTATTTATTTCCTATTGCCTTTTCCAAGTAAAAACAAGTGTGTTTTTTGATACATAAACACAAAAAATAGTATGTTTATTGAAATGTAACTTATAATGTATAGCTTAAAGTCATATTATAATAATTTCTATTTTAACATTATAATCTATAATTTATATTGTGTTTACACTGTTTATAGGATATATTGGTGATGGGATGTTATCTGCATCTGTAAGTGGTTACGTTTTTACTTGTTGTTCATCACTCAATATTTACCAGGCAATCAAATATTTAAATAATTATAATTGTAAGTATGTCTTTGTCTTGTTTATTTATAAGTTTATGTAAAAACGTAAAATTATTGTTAATATGTACTATACCTATAGGTAATGGAGGTGTTTTACTTATTGTGGCTAATTATACCGGTGATGTATTTAATTTTGGATTGGCCTGTGAAAAAGCGAAAAAAATTGATAATATTAATGTAAACTATTTTTATATTCATTGTTTAGCAAGAGGAAATTATATAAAAATAAGTAAATGTTTAATTTCTAGGTGGCTGAGTTAGTAGTAAGTGATGATTGTTCAAGACCCGGTGGAAAAGTAGGCAGAAGAGGCATGTGTGGTTTATTGTATGTTATAAAGGTAATTTATTAAATATTTTATTTTTTCTAACACAATTGTATAATTGGTACCTACATACCAGTACTTAAACTTTACTGCCAAATTAAAATATAATTCTTAAGTAAAAGTAGTTATAACTAAACTTATAATTTACTCGTTAAGTCTTATGTGATCAATGAAATAAAGTATTTAATAACTGATTATATAATATATAAACACTTCCTATATGGTCATTAATATTGAAGTCATATTAAAGTTTATATTGGAATAATATTTTATGAAACTAAACACGAAGTCAAAAAAATTAATCATTAAGTACATTGAAAAATATATTTTAAATAATTTTAAAAAAGTATTAAAACTATGATACAAATGTATGTTTACTTATTCTTGGTAGATATTGGGTGCATTGGCTAAACGAGGTAGTAGTATTGAAGATTTATTGTGTCTGGGTAAAAACATCAATGAAAAGCTAGCATCGCTTGGAATAAGTGCAACTTCATGTAATGTGCCTGGTGAAGACCCATCATTTTTACTTCAACAAGGAGAGTTTGAATTTGGAGTTGGATTGCACGGGGAAGCAGGGACTTCAAGAATTAAAGTATAATTAAATATATATTGTATACTATACGATAATAAAATTAACTAACTTATATAAAATAATAAATAACTAGGTAATAAAAAAATATCCATGTATTGCATAAGGTTCGGATATTACTCTAAGGAAGATTACTAAGGTACTCTTGTGGTCTACGTTTATCCCTGTCTATATTATTTTTATTCGGATGTTAAATATGTATTTATTTTAAATATATCTATTATATATTATTGAAGAAATTTACCTAATATTATAACATACATAAAAATATGAAATGATAGTTCGATTCTTTAATAATTGATAATAAGATTAACAAACTAAATACATTTTATTATTCTGTTTTTAAGCTGTTGAAATAATTTAACATTATCTTTGTTAAAGTGATTTGAAGTTTTGCTACAATATTTAGTAAAGGTATAATGTTTAAGTAGTTTTTTTCTTAGTTAATCTTTTATAGTTCTTAACCCATTTAAGTACAGTAAAAGGGTGTCTATTAGTTTAATTTTCAATAGGTATAGATATTTATTTTTAGTATTATTTCCAAATTAAGAACAACTTTTATTAATCTTTGATCCTTGATACAAATTAACATTTAATATGCTCGAGGGATTTGATTTTCCTATTTTTCTTATAAAATATAAACATTAATGCTTAAGTAAACTTTCAATGTCTCTTAAACATTTTTGACTTCAAGTCTAAAAAGTTTTTTTTTACATTCTAGGAAAATATCTTATGTCTATGAACCTAAACATTAATCAAAGTCTAATTGCATGTACAAACTTTAGTTAGGCATATCTTGTTACATGATATACTTATACAGTTAGGTAACTTATATTTATGTACAATTGTATCAAGCTAATAATTATGGATATAATTTTAGGCATGTGATGTGAAAGATTTGATCCGTTTAGCAGTAGATAAGATATGTAGCACCTTATGTTTGAAGGAATTCAGCATAATTTGTTTGATTGTGAATAATCTTGGATTGGTATCACACATAGAGTTAGGCGCATTAGCTAAATACACTAAAGAATATTTTGGTATGTATACAATAATATATTGTTTTTTATTTTTATAAAATAGCCTGCAAATTTTTTTTTTAAATACAATGTAATAATAATTTATATGGTATTTTTAGTTGATAAAATTTATGTCAAAAAGAATTAGTGTTTTTGGGTTGAGGAGCTTAAACCTTAGCCCTCCAGGCTCCTAAGCTATAGTTATTAAATGCAACTTAGCAGTACTTAAACCATTTTCATTTTCATTGTTATTATTCGTATTAAGAATAAGGCAATTAATTTTTTCTTATGGCGCCTTATACCTTAAATTGTCACTAAATTGTCCAAAAACCACTAATCTAATAACTGCATCATACATAAATATTTATAAATATAAATTATTATTTATTTAGTAATGTATACATTATTTTTAAATGTTTTTTAGAGTATAGATGAGTAATACTATACATAATAATCGTAATAATTATTTATAGATGAACTTAAAATAGAGGTTAGCCGTATGTTTGTGGGAACATTTATTGTATCTTTAAATATGTATGGATTTCAATTAAGTGTTATTGATGTGAGTAACAATCAAGAATGGATTAATTATATAGATGAAGAAACATCAGCTTTTGCTTGGCCGGGAAATAATATGAGCATCAAAACAATTGAAAAACAGAAATCAGAAAATATAAAAATTCCAAATATTGATGATATAGATCCTAAAGTAAATACTAATTATTAAGTTAAATATCACAACTATTAAACATGAATCAAATCTTAATACCAAATACAAAAAAAAAAAAAATGATATCAAATTTATATTAGGTTTATGCATTTATGTTTAATATAAAAACAAATTACAGACTTGCTAAGGTTAGGTTAGTCTGCGGATATTGTATTATATTATTTACTCTTTAATATTTTGAGTATAAATACAAACAGAAAAGAACAAATTCTATTAAAATATTTACAGACTAATTTTTAAATTTTAAGTTTTCTTTAAAACTAATTGTATTTAATTTTATATTAAATAGAAAATTTTTAATTGTTAATTAATATAAGTTTAAAATAATATTTTTGTAATAAATAATAAATGATGTGTATATTTTTTTGTTCAAGTTTTAATATTTTATCAAATAATTAACAGTCTTAAAAGTATGTTTTTGAAATTTTAGTTAATCAAATTAAAACAAAATAAAACTATTATATTATTGATTTTTCTATAATTTATTACATACTTAATGATCAATAATTTGCATTATGTATGTTAAAAGTTAATTAAATAAAACTAACAATTATTTAAACTTTATGTTATAATGAATGATTTAGTACTTATTTTATTCAATAACCAGAATTTATTAACTTAATAGAAAAATAAGTATATTATATGTTTGGCGTAAATATTTATAAAGATTTATTTATAAATGATTATGTATGTAGATAGGTGTATGTATATCAGAAAAATCAAGTTTAATATTGAAAAGTATATTGAAGCAAATTGGAGAAGATCTTTTGAAAAATGTTGATGTTTTGAACAAACTGGATCAGGAAATTGGAGATGGCGATAACGGTTCAACTATTTCACGGTTTGCAATAGGTAAATTACTACAAATACTTACTTTTTAAAATAAAATTTTAAAATATTAAAAGTATAAATTGAATTATTATTTAGAATTGCTTTCAATTCTAAAAAAACTTCCATTAAACTATCCAGCTAGTGTATTGTATTCTTTGGCATTCATCTGTGAAGATAAAATGGGTGGTGCCTCTGGAGCTCTTTATAGTTTGTTATTGAATGGAGCTGCTGGGCATTTAGCTTCAATGAACTATTTAGATTGGACTGGAGCTTTGAAAAACGCATTAGACACAGCTATGAAATATTCAAGTGCAAGAAAAGGAGATAAAACCATGGTGTTTATTACATTTAAATACAAATTCATTGTTTTATTTGTATATTATACTAAATATACTTTGTCTCATATGATAGTATCTTCAGACCATGATCAATTTTTATCTGGCTTAATCAAACCACACCCATTAATAGATGGGGTTTTGTTAATTTTTGTAAGTCATTTTTCATTATTGACTATCAACTAAGGCCAAAAAGTTGCTTTAATATGTTTGTCTTATTAGAGAAACTATATTTAGAAAATACAAGGTAGGCAGTTGTTAATATAGTAAAATGTAACTCTTGAGAGTGCAAGTCTTTGAGCTCATTACCAACACCTATCACATATGCCATATTTAAAAGTTAAAGCCTGCCACCAAGAAGGTTACTCTTAAATGAGACAGAGTATGTATTATATATGTATTAACTTTAATTTATCATTGTTATTTTTTAGTTTGATCCGCTAATTGCAGTATATGAAGTGTTCCAGGAATATGGAAACTTAAGTACTAAAGAATATACGACAGTTTTAGAAAAAGCATTACAGCACGTACATGATGTTTGCAATGATGTAAAACAAATGAAAGCTAAGTTAGTTAAAGAAAAAATAAAAATTTTTTTTTTTGATTTTAATATACCTAAATTATGTAAATTTAATGTTTTAGATTTGGCAAAGCTTCTTATGTAGAAAGTGTTACTTCTGTTGGTAAAATGGATGCTGGAGCTTATGGTGTAGCTTTATGGTTTAATGCCATATATACCGCTTACATGGATGTATCAAAATAAATATTGTTTCATAATAATCAACAATTTGAGTAGTTTATGTTAAACATTAGATTATTTAATGTTTTTTACTATTTTTATGTTTAAATATAGACAAAATTATATTTAAGTGAAATAAATCAAAAAATATATATGAACTTGAAGTGACTATAATTTGTAAAAATGAATTTACAATAAAATAAATAATAAAAATGCAACAATTAATTGAACTTATTGATTTTATTTTTAATTGATGAATATAATTAAATAAGTAAACAGAATCATAGTAATTAAATGTAAACATAAATTATGCATCTGATTATTCATTCATATTATAATAATAAAAATGTATTATAAATACCTACATACGATTAAAAGAAATTAAGTATGCAACCTAATAAAACATTAAGTTTAACTTAACAAATATAACAAGTGATAAAAAAAATCATTTAATAGTAAGTAGGTATACATAATCCTTAGCATGTACTACATGTCCATTATTAGGTTAAATTTACTTCTGCCAAATTTTACATTATTGTATTGTAGAGTACAGCAAAGTAAAAAATACATAAGTAAAAGTTATAATAGACAAATTTAACTTTACATTAAATACAAAATATAATTAATAATTATCCAAAACTGGTGTAACTATTGAAAAAAAAATAAGTGTATAGGAAAGGAACTTAAATTATATTACCTAACTATGTAAATGATAGATCATTACTTGAAGGATACTATTATTTTAAACACAGAAATTATATAATAGATAATTAAATCAAACTTATAAGTTACAATTAATTTTTATAGTATGTATTTATTAGAAATTATTATCTTATGTTTACAAATTTTAAAAACATGAAAGTTCATACAAAATATAAAAAAACAAAATTAGTAAGGTCTTCGAAATTTGTAAAATTAAATTTTTCAATTTAACAATTGAAAGTTGGAATATAGTTTTTTTTTTTTTTACTTTAAGTTAAATATAAAACTGTTTAAGAATTGATGGTCATTTATATAAACTACATATGTTTAAATCAAGGAGAATCAATTAAAAACCTTTACTTTTTTGTTAATATGTGAAGAATTATGATTAAAAATAAATCATTGTTGATCAATACATTTAAATACCACCACCAGTTCTTTCTTGATATATTTCAATGACATCGTCATTGATCATACCTAGCTTTTTTGGAGTGTCATCGTCAGTGATCCGATGACCATCAAACACAAAACGCAACTCATCCACACGAAAACCCAACTTGCTGCAATATGAGCGTTTAAGGCGGACCAATGGTGTGGAAGCTTTTACACGGAAATGTACTTCGTTCGTCATATCACTAGTAATTACACGTAGACGAATATATTCGTCAGATGAAGTTTTGTCTTCAGCAACTTCTAATGCACCAGTATTGACATCAGCTACAGCTGTGTTCTGTTCATTTGACTCCTCAATGTTGTTGGTTTCAGATGTGGATGGTAATGATTTGGATGTATCTTCATCACCCGACATTTTTCTATAGTAAAATCACAATTAATATAAATAATAACTCTAAGTAAATACATAATAATATTAAAATATTTAGATATTCTACTAACGATTATATTGTTTTAACTTTAAAATTAAAACAAGTCTAATTAAAATTTATATGATTATAGGTACTTAATAAGCTTACGAAAATTGTAAATGACAAATAAAATTCGAAATTAAATGAAGTTTAATCGACTAAAAATGGTGTACACTGTACAGTATCGAAATGTATAATATGACAGGACTATCAAAATTGATTAAACGCTACAATTCGAAATTGTAGAAGATACTTAGGTACAATGCATCAACCAGAAATATAGACGCATTTCTTAACAATAAACATGTAATGATTGTAATGATTACCTTCCATAGTCTGTTATCATAATAAATTTCAAACAATGTTGTTATCAAAAATGTATATAGATGCAACTCAAGGTTTACCTCCATAAATTGAAACAATTTAATATTGGTACTTTCTTCTACGTTATACTATAGGTTATACACCCAACTATAAATATTTTTAAAATGTTCAAGGTTTAAATTGCAAATAATAATGCAATCGACAGAAAAAAACTATTATGAATTTATTAAATAATAAAAAATATTAATTATTAACTTTAGATTTTCTTTGCATACATTTCTTGTTGGCGGGAAAACAATACATTTGAAATAAAATAGATTAGGTGAGTATTTATATGTAAAATTTATAATCAATGATTCATGAATAATGATTTATGATATTATTATCTTTTAATATTTATTAAATTCATTGCATTTAATAATAATATAAATAACGCATGATGATAATATTAAATCATGTATAATAGATAAATAATAAAAGCGATTAAGTATTTATGTAATCTCAGTATACTGTATACTGTATAGCAGTTTTCCACGAGGGCATGACTCTTTTAAATTATATAATTTCTGAGTTATCAACCCATAAATATGAAGTAATAAAAGCAATCAATTAAAAATGTGTTACTCGACTGGACAGGTCTCTGACCACAAACAAAATTTGACAGATTGAAAATAATAATGAAAAATTGAACGATCCTAAAAACATGTTACTATTATTATAAAAGACTAACAATTACCTCTCCTGCTTAGGCATTTGTTAACAAACTTAGCACATTATAATTAAATTATGTAAGTACATGCGATTTGTAAACATTAGAAAACAGATACAAGATACATCCTGTAAAAGATTACAAGAATAGTTCACGGAGCTCACACCAAGTATATTTTCTAAAAGCATAATGAAATCACGAACAGTTGATAAATCATGTAAACAATTCTACTCTTCTCTCAGTTATACGTGACGTTCATTATTTGATTTGTAGTTTTAGCTGCTTGCTGCTAGGAAACAGTTTATTATTGTTCTCTTTTAACAAGGTATAGACTATAGACATAGGCACTGTCTGATATTGACCAAATCGGGCAACACTAGCCTTGAAAACTACCTATTGCAATTTAAAATTTACTCGTTTCTAGCAATGTTTGTTTACATAAGACCCGCGAAAATCACGCAGGCAATGGATTGTTTCCGTTTTTATAATATCGTAACAAATATGGATATATATTACCAACATCTAGTTAGATTACGGATACGGTTTTAATTTTTAAAATCCAATACTTCATGCCGTAGGGATACAGTAGGTCTATGAGTAGACCGTCCAACTGATTGAGTGTCGTTTCTAAATTGTTCTGTGCTTTTAGAAGGGAGGGTCGTGAAATTATTCTCCTTTTATTTTTTTTTTATCACTAGTGAATATAACCAGCTTCTAAGAACGTGGTCTATACCTGATATAACTTCTGATAACAGATACTGATTACTGACTTTGACAACCTGACGGTCTTGTATTTACTATTTAGTATTTTGGTTTTCATTTTGAATCCCATTTGGCAATTTGTAAGTTGTTTATTCTTTTATTTCCATTTTACATTCTAGCTCCACAGATTGCAATATTGTGCAACTTGTTTTGATCCTTTTTTGACGTTGTTTATTCATTGTAGTTGCATTTGCCGTTTATTCGATCAATTACATATACGTACTCCCTTAATCATGTTTTTGAACAAAATATCCAAGTGCCTGACGACCAAGGCTAACAGCGTCCCTTGTCTTTTTTATCATAAAAATGTAAGTGTTAAAGTTAATCACAATATACAATATTATGTATTTATTTAGAGTTGATTAGTATAACTCGCTTTATATAAGTTTTTGTGTATATTTTATGTAATTTTTTTCATCATAATTGTTTAATTGTAATTACTAAAAGTAAATTGACTTTAATATTTTTTAAATTATCTGTTTGGACAAATACAATTAGCTGACCCTTTATATAATATTATTTATTTAATTTAATTACAATACAATATGTAATCTAATTGCGTTTTATTGTATTCATATTATTTAACATCACTTACAGGTGATTGATCATTATGAAAATCCCCGTAATGTCGGATCGTTGAATAAAAATGACAAGAATGTTGGAACTGGATTGGTCGGTGCACCTGCATGTGGTGATGTTATGAAATTACAAATTAAAGTTGACGATAATGGTAGAATTGTTGATGCCAAATTTAAAACTTTTGGCTGTGGATCTGCTATTGCTTCTAGTTCACTAGCTACAGAATGGGTTATGGGAAAAACTGTTGGTTTATTTGTCTATTGCTTCATAATATACTTATTTCATAAATATATTTATTTAAATAACTTATGTATAGGTTGATGAAGCACTTTCCTTAAAAAATACAGAAATTGCTAAAGAACTTTCTTTGCCTCCTGTGAAGCTTCATTGTTCAAGTAATTTGAATTATTATGATATTAATAATTTACATAAGTTAAAATCTGATTTATTGCAATAATTTTTACATTAAAATAGTTTAATTACCAATTTTCATACCTATTTCTTTTTTATACTATATATTTGTTATATTTTAATAATAATTTATGAATTGTTTATTTTATAGTGTTAGCTGAGGATGCTATTAAGGCAGCATTATCAGATTATCGTATTAAACAACAAGAGAAGAAAAAAACAGATCAGGAATAATTAAAGTGTTAAATTAGTAATACTACTGCATATAATAATTATACATTATTAATGTAATGCAAAGTTGTATTTGTTACCCTTGAAATAATCATAAATTTCTTTTAAATTGCACATAAAATAAATTGTTAATTATTATATTTATACATGTTTATTGTAGTAATTAAAACATTGTCTATTGTTTTAGAAATATTTATTTAAAATATATTATTATTAAACATTTAAAAATTATTACTTTTTGGTATAATATTTTTAACTGAAAATTAATTATTTTTATTATTTTTATTACCAAGAAAATATAAGGAATTGTATTGTATTTGGTTAAATTGTAAAGTTACTTAGTATTAAGATTTGCTTACTGATTAGACTAGATTTAAAATGCATTAATTTATTTTGTATCTAATTATAAATTTGTTTATTAGTCAATTTTGAGCATATAATAAAATAGAGCACTAACTTTTAATACATTTATAATAAATTTCAAATTCATAGTTCATTTTTGATGGTATAATATTGATAAGTTTTTTAATTTGAAATCAGTCTTTGAACATATTGCAAATTGTATAATAAATTCATATTTTAATGAATATTTAGTTATATGAGCCAGTGGCATGTTGGATTGAACTATTTTGAGGCAATTGCCTCAATACCAAAATGGATGGGTACCCTTGAAAAATTTTAGTTGAATAAAAAGTTATAATAATAATAATATTTATACTATTAAGTAAATACAAATGTAGATTAAAAGCTGAAGAGCATAGGTGGTCAAATTGTAGGTATGCTTTAGTCTGAAAATTACTAAGTATGCTACTGATTTAAGTGATGCTTATTATTAATTAAATATAAATTAAATTAAATTTTAGACTATCGTGACAATTTTCTATTCTCAAGATTGAAATTTACTACAACTTAAAGTAGAATTAAATATATAAAATATATTAGAAAGAAGAAATTCATTTAAGCATTTAAAGGTATAACTTTTTATAAATGGTAAATCGTTTGGACAACTGCATTTTAATGGAGATTTTTTTTAATAATCTAACTAATTCAAAAAATAAATTTCAGAATTTAAGATGTTACATATTAATTACTAAAATACTTTATTTACATAAATTATAAATCGACAAAGGTATATTTCAAATCGTTCTTGTTGAAATTGATAAAGAACAAAACTAAAATTCAGTGGCGGCTTGTGGGTGCTGGCAGTGGGAGTGCAACTTAAAATAATATAATAGGTTCTGTTATAATCATAGATATAATAAAAACATTAATATTTTATTTTAAAATTTTACTTACAAGTTACAAGAAGTATGACAACTATCTGCTTCTTACTAGTCGCAGGTTGTAGTATAAAATAGAAATGAAAATAATAATATGAAATAATATATATTATATTACGGACGACGCTACCAGGTCGTCCAAAACACGTATTTAAGACGATCGCAGTTGAAATGTACATGCACGCCTATACACACGATTATGATTTGTGAGTTTTTGCTTATTCTATTATAGATAATAATAATTTTATTAAATAATAAAAATGTGTACAAATAATAATTGACAATAATAGAGGCGATTAGCAACCAACAACAACGAGCTTACACACAGTTAATTTTAAAAATAAATTACCCATTATAGTATTATACTAATATTTTATTATATGGATGACGCTACCGGTCGTCCAGACTCCGCAATAAGACTGCAGGTTAAACGTACCCGCACGCACACGATTGTAGTGCCTTCGATTATAATGTACGTTTCAGAACAATTGCTTGGACGACGTTGCCTGTTGTCCAGATACTGCTCGTGTGTGCATGCTACCCATATGCTCCTGGTATCTGAAGGAAATAAATTTAATGTTTGCAGTTCGTACACGACAAAATATTACTAGAAGTTCAAAGATTGCAGTTTTAATAACAATTAATTTTTGGAAATATAGAATTAAGAATATAAATTTTCTTCTTTTAAATAATTTTAGTAGGGGGTGCGATCGTCCCGTCGTCCAAGCCATGAGCCGCCACTGCTAAAATTCATTATTGACCATTTTCTGTGAAATTGCAAAGATAAACAAATCATTCAAATCAATAAACACTTGTAAATTGGAAAATATTTTTACAATTTTTATTGCTTCTAAAATTAAATGGCATTATCATAAATAATCGTATGTTTATAAAAATCATGTATTTACAAACACAAATCACTTAAAATCATATTTGTTATAATTAACTGAGAAAACATTAACTTGAGTTTAATTATACAAAATTATATATATACTTTCATGCAAAGAAATCCATTTTTTTTTTAAATTTAATACTTATTTTAAGGAAGCGGATTCAAGAAAATCACAATTTTGAAAATTTTCATTTTTAATACTGTCTTTTTTTTTATTTGTAAATATATTATATAATATATTATATACATGATCCTTAAAATATTTAAAAAAATAAAAAAAATAAAAATACTGTTTAAGTTTAAATCTCATACTTAAGCTCTTTCAGCCTATTTTGAGTTATAAGGTAATCATCTAAATAAGATCTTATTTAGTATAACAAAAAGAAATAGACATTTCCATAATTCTAAAATGTCTAATTTTTAAAAGCCAGTTCCGTGTCAGCAAAGTAGACTTAATTGAATTTTCATATACTTTGAATTCTGATTAAAAGTTTTAATTCAGACTTGTCACTTTGAGTCATTGCTAGTTAATCTTTTTTCTTTGGTTTTTTGGGGTTACGACTCCTGGATTTGGCTTTGCATAACGGGCAAATTGGAGCATTACGATGTATTTGTTGATGACATGATAAGCATGATTTCATTGGCGGTGGTTGTTGTCTAAAAAAAAATTAACAGTACAGATAACGTTAATAATAATTTTTAAAAATTTAAATATGTATTTATACTTGAAATTTTTTTTAGGTTAAGTGATATATTAGACATATGTATTTAGAGTTGAAATATTAGAGAATACATGTAGTAGGGATATTAAATAACCCTAATTAAATAATTTATCATGCATAATCTATAAACTTAAAAAAAAAAAAAACCTTAATGTCATAAACTATAGTTTATAGATTGTAGACAATAATTTAAGATATAGCACAGTGCCACAGTATTAATATATAAATCATGGTCTATGCTGAATACCAAACTATAAATAATTTAATAGTTAAGAAAAAAATTGATTTCATTAACTATTAAATATAATAATGTCTGGTATTTAAAAAAAATATATTAATTGTTAAAAAAAAAAAAAATTTGATTATAATCATAAGTAATAATCAGTGGCGTATTTAGGCTGGAGCAGCACTCAAGATATAAAAAAAGTTGTGGAGAGGGGCCAAGTACTTACTTTTATTAAGCCATAAAAGATTGAGAATTTTATTTTTATTCAAGAACTTTTATGTTCTATGTGAATAATATAACTATTTGTAAAAAATTTATAATATTAAATACAGCATTTAATTACGGTATCAATGAAATAGAATGGAGACTTTAAAGATTTCAATATATTTCATATTTTTTAAAGATACACAATCAATTTCATTAATTATATTAAATAATGAGGAACTATAAAACAAAGCAATAAAAATACTAAAAAGAAGTAGAACCAAGATATTTTTCCAAATTTTTCCCACCAGATACCATATGTTTCAACCATATTTCAAGGATATCATCAAGTCTAAGACAAAGACTATAGAAATGCTATGAATATTCTCCTATTACAACATACCCTGATGTAAGCACTGCTTTTATTTTATACTTGACGTTACCCATCACGGATGCAGCAGCAGAACGATCATTCTCAAAACTGAAAATAATAAAAAATTATTTACGAAATGATGGTAGAAAAATGTCTGAGATTTATCAATTATTTTCATTGAAAATTAGATACAGCAACTAAATTTAGAGGAAATTATAGAAAAGTTTGTTTAGATGAAGGCATAAAAAGCTCATTTTTAAGTATAAAAAGTTTTAAACAGTATAATTATTTTATTACTACTTGATCTCTTTATTTAAGGGTTCTTTTTATAGGCCCTAAGGCTACCCAGTTTCACAATACGCCACTGATAATATCTATTATATACTAGAAAGTAAAAGTTTAAATTATGGTTAATGAAACACACTTAATACAGATAACAATTAAAAATTACACATTCCACAAAAACAATATATACATTCTATATTTTTACATGATATGTAGAAAACATATTGCTGAAGTATAAGTACCTGAATGTTGGTGGTCCAGGAATTGGAGGTATTGGTCTAGTATCTACAGGTCCACCATTAACCATTTTGCTACTAGTAGCAAGTTGTTGAAGAGGAGCTGCTTGAGATCCAAGAAAAGCTGCCACTGCAGCTTGAGCGTGCTGATGTGCTTGAGTAAGGTTCTGCACACTATCACCATTGTGCCAATCTGAACTAGGGGGTGTTGACACAGCAGGCTTAATTTGTTTGTCAAAATAGGTTTGTACAAATAGACTATAACAAAAATAATTCAAACTTATTAAAAACAAATATAATTAGAAAAGAAATAACTTAATAAATTGAAAGGGAATATTTATCCTCATATTTTTAAAATCTTAATCTCTAACATTCAATGTTATATATGTTTTTTTTTTATTTATTATAAACAGTTTCAATCATACTTGTTAAATTAATTTGTATTTTATTTTGTAAACTCAAAATTATAGTTGTATGTATTTAAATCATTTTTTTAACTTACATTAATATAACTTTAAAATTATTGAATGAGATTTTATTTAAAAAAAAATTAAGATAATTAATACCAATTGTGGAGTAAAATCATACACAACAATTTACTGCTTAATTAAAAAAAATACTTACTCAGGTCGCACAAGATCACTTTCTTCTTCATGAAGTTCTGGTAATCGTTCTAATCCAAGTAAATCTCTACGCATTAGGTCTATGTCTGTCTTAAGAGGCTTATATTCATCATGGACTTGTTTAGCACGTTCCATTGATCGATTTCTAGATTCTTCAGCTTTTTTTATAACACTTTCCATCTATATAACAAAAATGATACATTTATTATTCTAAAATTTAAAATTGTTAAACAAACCGCATTTATATCAGCATGTATTTGTCTAAGTTCTTCTACATGTGCCATTTTTTCTTGCAGTAAAAGTTCCAATTCCTTGCGATATTCTATAAGACATTTATCTTCTTGATCACTCGCTTCAATTTCTTTCAAAATATTCATTTTTAGGGTTTCTAGTTTTTCAGTTTTGTCTCTAAAACAATAAAATTGTACATTGTTAATGAAAAAAATTAATCTAAATGTAATTTGTTGACTACTTATTTAAAGAAAAAAATAAAGATGTATCCTTCTAAGACTAAAGACATACATGCAACAAACTGTTATAAATAACTTATAGCTTAAGAAATATACCAATATGAATGTACACACGTATTCATGGAGGTACTTTAATAATTTATCAAGATGTTATAATAAGGTATTGATATCAGTTATTTTGTGCACAATGGATAACCGGTCCAACTATCCACAATCCGGCTAACCCATCGATTTATACGTTATCAAAGACTGTTGACAAATCTATCACAAGACCATAAAACAACAGTAGAATACGGGTGGATGACATGATTGGGAGGGATGTCCAAAAACATGGACTTCGGCATCATTAGGGATGAGAGAACGAAAATAATTGATAAACGACGAGTGAATCTCCCTGATCAGATTACGAGACTGGAATCGACGGGTCAAACAAATAACGGCCTGAATGACCTATGAGGGTCTAACTCTATTTGGTCGCAACGGGCATATATGATTCGTTTCTCACCTGATATCTTTCAACGCATCGAGTTTCTTAAACACCTCGTCACTTTGGACTTCTTCGGTCATGTTTACGGACATTACGGTGTTAGCACACAGACGAACGATCAAAACAACAACAACAACAACGGTTTACGGTACAGGGTACAGTAGGTGCCCTGTGGTGGTGAAATCGATATTTTTACGTGCTGAGGGGCGGCGAGCGTCGTCGTTCGTGAAACAGTGGATGGACGGGACGATGACCACCGCGGGACCAGATGTGCAAACACTGTTATCAGTGGAGTGTTATCAATGCGCAAAAGGGTGTTTGGTGTTTGCAAAATCCACAAAGATAATAATATTCTTAAGGGAAATTATTGCTGTCGACGCCATGTCCCCGGGGCTCAACAAAAAAAACGCAAGACCTTCGGGAAAATTTCGGATGCTTCACTTCTCCCAGCAATAATTGTTAATTATTTATTGCCATCGTTCATGCCAACAGCATGCATGATTAACTGACAAAGTGACAACTATCGGAGCGATAATCATAAATAAATATAATAATTAATAATAATAATAATAACAATAATTGTCAATACGGCAAGCGATATAAATTATTATCACTATAGGCTTCTTGGCTCACGCCGAATGTACGGTTTTCTTTTCTTCCACGATGTTGCGCCATCGGCGTTTGATTTTTCCACGACCGTCTTTGTCATTAAAAAATAATTCAATAATTACAATATTCGTCGCTCGGCGCAGGCCAAGCAGTGCTCGCACAGCTGATTCCGACGTTTTTAGTCGTAATAACGAAGTCTCGTCGACGTTGTCAATACAATACATCAGTGAGTAATACTATAACCACTGTCCAGAGGTCTTTATTTCGATTACACACACACACACACACACACAAACCCATCCCACGAATCACGCGTAAGTATAGTATACAACATACACATATATACTAATGTATTTATGTATGAACTATACACACGACAATCGTCTATAGTCTATAATAATAGTATTTTACGTATATACGCTCATTTTATTTGTTGTAGTCGTTACAGCACTGCTGCGTCGTGGACTGAACTGAACGTTACGTGTGGCAATTGATCACAGTCGATCGCTTTGTGTGCTGTTGTCGAGTTGTTCCTATAGTGACTATTGTCTCTTCCTCGTTCAGCAACTCCGACGGTTTTTGTTATTATATCCGTGTCTGTCCGCACACGATACCACACCTCTCACATTTGTCACATCGTCATCATACATCCGACAAAATGGTCTTGTTGAAAACCACACTGGTCGTCTTCCTGGCCGTCGCGTGCGTCTCTGCCATCAACCCGACGGTCGCCAAGCAGTCGCAAGATCATGCCGAGCATGAAACTGATTTGCCCGTCAGTGAGTATCCGCCATTCTATCGCAATAACGATTCACGACGACGATTACAATAACTGCATTAGCAATAACATAGTTATCAAATGTTCAAGGTCAACGGCAAGACACGTACGCTTGCCGTTGGTTTTGATCGATTTTCTCTCGGATTGCCATTGTTCCACATGCACGTATCCATTACGATAAATTAAAAATAAAATAACTTATGAGTTAACCCTCATCACCCATTTATTGGAACCACTGTTTCCGTGGCGTTTCGATTATGACGTCCGTACTCTGCGTGCCGACGTACCGTCTATTTCCCTCTGCTCACCACCCACTGGACTTTAGCCATGGTGTTTACAAGTTGCGTTACCGACGTCACATGATTTGTGAGCAATGTGAGCGCATAGTTGTCATTGTTCTCTAGGTTAGGTTATATATTGGTTATTGATTTATTTTCTATATTAACTTTGGTATCCTCCCCCATGACAATTTTTTTCTCTTGTTGACTGTTTTTTAACATCGTTTAATGCTTACTGTGTTCAAGGTTGAGTATTAGGCCACCATGGTTTTGACTGTGTCACTGCAGCTATGTAGATAATTGAAAAGTTATTTCTGTTTATAGAAATACACTTAATACAATAAAACTGCCTTAACAGCATTTAATATTTTCCATATATCACAACCGACTGAATTATAAAACAGATATAGTGGTTCATTGTTATTTAACAATAGCTCGTCTTTGTTAACTTTTTATATTGTACAACTATAATTTCTTTTAAATGCATCTTAGTAGGTATATAGTTTTAAAAAAAAAATATTTTTCTGCTTTTTAAATACTTGGTATTGGATTAATTATTTTATTCGCTGTAAGTGTTATCTAGTTTTTACAAACAAATTTATGAACTTGTCATATTATGGTTTAATTCTTTTTATAGTTTTAATCTATTACATGTATGAATAAAATTTATCTTATTAGCTAAAGAATATTAAAATTTTTTTAACATAAATATTTAGTAAGTTGAGTTAGTTACCACAATAGTATTATTGATTTAATTAAAAAATTGACTAGTTATTAAAAATAAAATTAACTGTGAGTATTGTATTGGCTTAATATTTGTAAGGATAGTTATATTAAACGTAAAAGAGTTAAACACGTATGGTGTTCTAGTATTTTAACTTATTATGTAATAAACGTTAAATAGTATTGATTAAATAATTAAAATTGTATTTATGTTTCTTCATTAATTCTTTTTTTATTAAAAAAAATATTTTATACAAATAGAATAATGTTGTTTTTGGTGGTTAATTAATTTTTGGTTGTTACATTTTATATTTAGCTATTTCCTATTTTTTTTTTTTACATAAAATTATTGTTACTGTATTTAGTAGTTAAAATTTATAATATTGTCTAATTTTTATCTTTTGTTTTTAAATATCAAGGTTTGTATTATGAATGCATATTTGTTTTTTTTTTTGATTATTTATTAATAATCTAATTAAAATATTAGAGATATGGAATATTTAATATGAATGCAATCTGTAAAACATCAAATTTACATTAAAGAAGGCTAATAATTATCAAATACTTATTGCATGTTTTATATTTAGTCAGGCTTATTGAATATAACAATGATTTTTTTTTTTTTTAATTTAAAACTATTTACAATATATACAATCAAGTACAATTAAATGTGTTACATATTTATAATATAAATGGTTTGATGGACATAAATATAGAAAAAAACATTTATCAACAGCACCTAAAATAATCTGAATTTTATTTCTTTGATAAAATAATAAATTATTTGTATACTGATCATTGTTCTTTGTTTAACTTCAATTATGGGCAAAGATAACAATTTAGGTTCAATATTTTCTACAAAAATCATTTAATCCATGTTTAAAATCATATTGATATTATAATAATTTTAAAGTAGTAAAATAAAATAAATTTATTTTTGATATTTTTTAATGTGTAGAATGTTTTATTTTGAATTTTGAATTTTATCTTGTAAGACTAAATTTAGATAATGCATTATTATTTGACAATTTTTGTTTATTCCTTGTAACATTTCTTTAATATTAAAAACAGAATTAAAAGTTAATAATTAAGTAGTTAATTGCTATTTTCAGTTATTGTATTCATTGTATTATATAATAATGGTATAAATGTTAGTTCTAAAAATATACTTAGTAAATTTCCATTATGCAGAATCTATTTTATGTTAAAAGTTTTAATATTGCTATGAATTGAATCATCAAATTTTAAAGGAAATTTTAATTTTAATGTCAGTTTTAAGTATGTATAATTTTTATGTTCAAAAAATGTTCATTGTTTGCTTTAAAATTGAAAATAATGAAAATATAGATAATATTTTTACCTACCTTTAATAGGTAAATTTACTGTAATATTATAATTAGTGTCAAAAAATAGAATTTACGAAACGCAAATTTCCAAATATTTCAGTAATATTATAATAATTACCATGTAGTAAACCATTGTAAGAACCCATTCATGTGCAAACTTTGTTTTTAGATTGGATTTTGTAATTTTGCCACTTTTTCTTTTATAATTTAATTACATGTTGTTTTTGCAAAAATTAAGTCAATATTGTTATTAATTTAATATTAAATATTTTAAAACTTCTTCTATCTAGTTTTGGAACATATGATTTAGGCTTTAGAGTGTACATAATACATTTTTAAACTGATCTTTTACTATAAGAGAAAATTGACTCTTATTTTAAATTTTAAAAGGTACTGAAAAATAAGGATATCATATTGAATCTCATACCATATATCATTATTATATTACATTCATTTTTAATGTATTTCTTAAAGTATAAAATTGATTTATAACAAGATTAAATACTGCGTTCTTTATAAATCAAATAAATGATGCTATAATATATACTATAATTAGTAAATAAACATTTTTTGTTTAAAAGTTATATTTTAATATTTTAATTATTGTTGTTCAATAAATTATTAAAGCTAATTTTTGAAATACTCTTTTTTTTTTAGAATCAATTAAACCATTATCATCTGGAAATAATACCGTTTTAATTCCACCCACAACTCCCACTTCTGTTATTCAAACTTCAACTAACTCCTCAACTATAGAAGTGGAACCTACAAAAAATTCAACAACTACAACACCAGCACCAACTACTACACCCACAACAACTACTACACCATTACCAACTACATCCTCCACAACAACTACTACACCATTACCAACTACATCCTCCACAACAACTACACCATCACCAACTACATCCTCCACAACAACTACACCATCATCATCAACTACTGTGAGTCCAAATGTAACGACTGCTGTACCACCTACTCCAGAACCATCTCCGGCTAGGAGTTGGGATGGTCCAAGTTTCTTAGGTATGATTAAAGTTAAGGTTAAATCAGAATTAAAGAAAATAAAATAATTTTTATAAAATGATGTTTTTAATGATAATTTCAGGTGGCATGGTCCTAGCTTTTGGTATTGTTGCAGTCGGATTTGTTGGATACCGATTCTTCTACTTGGGACGTGGTGGTGCCTACCATACTTTGTGAACATTGATAATTTGATCAAATTATAAAAATATATAATTTTTCTTTTATATATATATATATATAGGGCTATTTAATTTAATTCAAAAACCTATATAATTGTAAAAATATTTTACTGATTAATTATTTAAAAAATAGAGCACCCTTTCTCAAAATTCAGTGCTCATTATTTATTTTTTAGTAGCATATTTAAATGCTTCAAGCAAAATTAGGAATTTGGAAATCCATCGTAGATATTAGTATTGTTTATTCAGTTCATATTTGTTTTCATTTTTTTTTTTTTTTTTTTTTTAAATAATGAATAGTTAACATTTGACAAACTGTTCTTATTAAATTTATTCTGGTGATAACTAATGTAAAATTATTTTTAAGTATTTTTTTATATAATTAAACGTTGTGAAAATTATTTTGTTTTTTTTTTTTTAAACTATGTTTCATGTGAGTTTTATATTTATATATTAATTTGTAAAGAAAGGGTATAAAATAAGTGTTAAGGAAATCAAAAATTATTTTATTTTATTTGTGGAATGTTTTGCTTAACAAAATGACATTTAGTTGAACATAATTACTATGTTAGTCATGAATTATGATAAATTTAGATGCTAAATTATCAATAAAATAACAGATAAAAAGTTTAAATGGGTCAAATTTAATTGTGATAAAATTAATTATGTTACAAAAATTATTTAAATTACATTTTTTCCTTTCAGTCATATATCAGCTGTGAGCTGTTTGATAGTAAACACTTGAAATATTTTTTAATAGTTATTTATAGATAATAATTATTTTTAAAGTTTAATGCATGTTAATATATTCTGATTTAAAATTATTAATGTAGTTAATTGTACAAAATTATATTTTACCAGTAGTCGGTATGTTATATTATTGCTATAAAATATTAATTTTTATAACTCGAAAACTGCTAATCAATACTTAAACACAACAAATGATTACTCGTTTAAAATATAATGTTTATGTGTTGATATAAAACAATAACATTTTACTGGAGATCATGGAATTAAAAATTTATGGAATATTTAAATAAAGAAATAAACTTTAAAATTGTGAAAATATTGTTTTGTAATGAACTTTAAATTATGTAAAAATATATTTTCAAAAATGTTAATTCTTTTCAAGTTAATAAGTGTTCACTATTAAAATAATTACCTGCCTATATTATTTAGTATATGTACACAGGCCCGTCAGGGTGGAGATATTTTCCACCCTAAAGCAAAAATTTTAATGCTGCTCTTAAGATACTAAATTAAATAATTATACGTATAATATTACAATTAGCCGCCTCAATTTCTTTAAAAAAATTTGCCGCCCTAAAACAATGCATGGCTTGCTCGTACCCTAGCGACAGGCCTGTATGTGCAAAGTTGGTATTAAAAATTCTGTGATGAATGTCATGATATCGTCAGAGTGATAAGAGAGTGTCATACAGTGGCGCAACTATGGGGCTGCTGAAACACCCCAAACTTAACTTTAAGCACCCCTAAGTTCCATATCTTTGTAATTTCAAAGTTCTAAAGCTTTAATAATATAGTTTTATGTTTTAAGATTTTATTATCATTTATGTTATATATTTTTTCTTATTTTGCATACTGATAATTAAAATGTTCATTTGGAAATGTTTACTGGAGCTAATTATGAAAAACAAGAAGTGTCAGAATCAGTTGAAGCCTATTGGAGTCATACTATTCATTTTTCAATTATTTATATAATTATTAATAATTTAGAGTTAACATTTTCAAATGAAAATCTTTAAATGGCTAAAGCCATTAATAATTTTGTGAATATGAATTATGATAATAGTCAACATTTTATTCTGCGTTATAAGGTACATATTAATTAAGTTATTAAGTAATTAACGTAATAAAATTATTGTACTTTAGAAAGTTCAAAAATATTTTATGATTTTAGGACATAATAAATTCAAACAGAGTGCTTAAAGCAGAAATGGGGAGACGGTATTAAAAAATGATATTGAAGCAGTGGAATTGAGTATAGATTGGAGAGAGTTGTAGAGAACAAGGAAGATGGCGGGAAATTTGTTTAGAGGGCTAGTTTTAAAGGTCGAAATCCACGAGAAAAAGATAAGTTCTCGTAGACATAGTTCAGAGCAGTGGTGTATTCAGGGGGGAACCCTCCCCCCATGAGTTTTGTTTTATTTAGGAAAAAAAACATTAGTCGATAACCTTTTTTTTTTGATTTTTTGATTTTATAGTAAAACTTACACGTATATAAGTTATTTGTCGCTATCTTGGACTGGATCCGCTTATGGCTCATAGAGTAGATTAAATTGTATTAAATAAAATATGTAGGTATAAGTTATTTGCATTTAGAGAACTGTAAATGTTCATAAATTGAAGGCACAGGTAGCAATTTTTGAGTTTTATGTTTCATACTGGTAAGAACTAATGTCCAATTAGATTAAAATCCTAGTTAAAAATAGTCAAACATTATTAATTATAATATCGTTTTTATTTTTTTTAATAAACTTGTTTTAAAATCATTATTTTTATATTTTAAAACTTCAATAACTTTTGAAATTAAATATGAAGGATAAAAACAATATTGCATATCTAGTCAAGATAATTATTTTTTAATGAAAATTTAGTTTTTATCCATAGGTTCATTTTTATTTCTACTTTATCTATGACATTGTTTATCAAAAGATTCAAAACGTAATTTTGCAATTAGGTAAGCAAAAAGTCAACATTAGTACTTACTGAAATAACCAAGTAAATCGTTTAAAAGAGCATTACCTACAATTTTTAACTGTATATTAAACTTCATTAAAGGGTGTCTACGTGATCTTGGGACTGAATTAAAGGAGATAGATCCCGTAGAGACCTGCTAGACTAATTGGATACTTGTGGCCTGTGGGGTTCACCTACCGTTGACTTACATGAGCATTTGAAAAAACCATATTTAATAATTCATTTGGATTTGATTAAATATTTATTTTCGCTAAAAATGGTTATGACTTTATATAGGTAGGTAAGTATACTAAAAAACAAATAAAAATAGTTCTTTGTGTTTTTAGACTAATTTATTTTGGTAGTATTTTCCAGTATGCCATTATGCCAGTGCATGTCAATATTCAGTACCTACGTCACACATTTAAACACTTAATAAACTAATTTAACTGATAAATAATAATATAATAATAGTAAAAAGTTTTAATAATATGTCTATCAATTATCATTGTATTTTATACATTTTTGAATAATTTTTTTTGAGCTATTTTTTTTTTTACTATAGGTACCTATATAATAATTTATTATATTATCTGTATAGAAAGTTGGTAGATAATTTTTGAAATACTTAAGTTATTCAAGAATTATTTTAAATAGGTAGGTGCATGGGCGTAGCTAGGATTTTAATCAGGGGAGGGCAGTTAATAATATGTATTTTTGCTTTTTTCGATTTTATAGTAAAAATTACATGTTTGGCACTTGTCCCCCTGCCTCACCCTCGCAACGCTATCTATGAGTAGATACAATAAAATTATTCAAATTATAGAAATTTTAAATACTAAACATATTTGAGTATAAAGTTACCTATTTACTGATTTAAAATTTACCTATATTACTTAATTTAGATAAATAGTTTTAATAGTTTTATCTGTCTACACTGCTAATTCTATTTAATGAGTAGGTATTATAGTAAAATAGTTCATTAAGCATAATCAAAGTCATGACTTCTTGGTAAGAGCTCTAAAAATATTAGTGTAATTCTACCTAATGGTTATTAATTTATTATACTATTTACCAAATTCGAAGAAGAGAAAATGTGGTACCTATCTACCAAATCTTTTAGGCCATTTATAAAATATACGTATTCTTACAAAGGAGTTACAAACTACCAACTACCTCTGAGTAATATTATAATATATTTATATAGTATATATTATCTACTTATTTTATACATATTATAATTTATTTATAAGTAAAAGAATAATTTACTAACGATCTGAATGATGTTAATAAAATGGTAGCATCATAAAAGTATTAATATTGTTGAATATTTATAAAAATAATGTACCTATGTTGGTAGTTACTTTTCACTTGAGTGAGAAAATAGGTAAATATTATATTATTGTGTAAATATCAGCGTGTGTAACACTTGTAGGTAATTATAGTTAATAGTTGTATAGAGTAGAATATATTTTCGAGTGACGTGAGAATTTTACTAGTTTTAACATAAAAATAATACATATTTTGTTTCAATGCCACTATTTTATTTAATAATAGTTAGGTAGGTACCTATAGAAATATTTTATTTGTGGAGTATTGTTTTTTATCAAAGTTAAAAAAAAATGCAAGTGATTTTATGTATCTATTGGAATTTTGTACATCTAGTTGAAAAATATTAAGTATCGTAGAATTTAATGTGGCTATTGTTAGTCATTATTCATTACTCATTAATTATCATTAATAATTTAAGATTTTAAATAGTATAATTTTATGAAATATTGAGTGAAACAGATTTCTATTAAGATTTTTTTACCGTGACATAAAAAAAAATAGAAGTTTAACCTTAAACTCATTTTTATGAGCGTTGTAACAAAATTGGATACCCTCACGTAAAATAATGATTTTTCCTCAAACGATTATTTTAGTTGGTGGTAGATTAGGTATCTGTTCAAAAAATAATTCAATAATGCTTAAATTATAATTTATTCTATATGTACAGAATAAAATATTTAGACTTATATTTTATTTCAAGACATATTACCTATTAAACCGACAGACCTGTCTTCGTTTAGAATCGATTTTTGTAAACAAAATGATTTATTATTGAATTCAAATTTAACACATCCATTATTAAAGTGACCTACTCAACGACTTACGGCTCAAGTATACAATAAAGAGCAAATCTAGTTTCTCGGCTTTTAATACAACGTTTAAATTGTTTTTTATTAATTTTGAATCTGTTTTTATTTATTAGACATTAATATTGTTGTCCTAATCTGGAAAACGGTCGTTTGTTATAAACTATACCTATCGTAGTCTCATCAAAGCAGTGTG